CTCATGGTTGTAGGCTAAAGGGTTAATTTATATTTATTGAATTACGTAGGTATCATTTCGTTCCACAACCTTTCCACTTTTTCAGGGTTGTATACATGCTATTTGTCTTCAACCGTTCCGATATAATCAGACCTGCACCGCCTATCAAAAATCGGCAGGGACTTTCCAGACAACCCAATAATATCTGAATATCCTAGAAGATGCCCAACGAATTGGAGGAATACAAGAAAGATCGGGATTTGAACGCGTGGTCACTCGAATAAAACATTGTTTAAATTTGCCGTGACAACAAAACTTACAACGGAAGATGCAATTTCATTCGCAGACAAACCGAACGACGCCCTTCGTCATCCGTCTAGACATAAGGGTACATTAGCAGTTAAGGCTAGAGCTAAGTTAGCGATAAGTCACCAATGGATGGCAGTCCCCAACTCCGCTGAACTCGTCCAATCGGTTTTCCACGGCTGTAACGATCATCGATGAATGCGCCATGGTCGTTAATAACGTTACTGCTCTTAACGACGCTGCGGAATAAATTTCGTACGTGACCAGAATTAGCCAGGAAATAAATCAGCGAACGAGGAAAGCCGATCACGTTCAGTCGCGGTTAATGAAGGCTTCCTCTTTCTGTGGATCGAACGTGGAAGAATTGAAAGCGGTAGCAATCACGGTGTAGCGATATTATTCCTCGATGTTCGAGGCGATTTATAAAAATGGAAATAAAAGAGCTAGGCTTAACCCTTTCGATGCGATGGTCGACTGCAATTGACATTCGCGCGATGGTCGTTTGGAAATGGATCTTTACGAGAGCGTGCGTTCAACGGACGGGCCTTTTCATGAATTACGCAACGAAAGGGTTCAAGGTGAGAAGGAACGGAACAGAGGGAGGCGGAGTTGGGCGGCCTTCGTGGTGAGCGAAGCATTATTAAATGTGGTGCCCCAATATTCTAGCTTTCTGAGGAGGTAAGGATATTCTTCACCCAACAAAGCAGCACTTCCAAGCCAACACCTATCCTTCGTTTCCATCTACGTGATTACCGTATTATGTAACGGAGTGTTTCGATGTTCCGTAGTAACACTTTCTCTTACACAAACACACATACACGCTCTTTCTCTCTCTTTCTGTCTATCGAGACGGTCGACGAGTTCCTGGACGACTTTGAACTTCTAACGACTGCCTGGGAGCTTCGGCGAATTTTTTCGACGATATTTGAGCAACGTTCCCGGTCTCGATTATCGGCCTCGATCTTCTTTTCAGCCGAGCAAACGCAAACTGCAACACTTCCGTGGGAAATTCAGCGTCTGTATGCGCGCAAAGTTGGCCAAGAAGTTTCGCGCGATTTTAAAATTCACCAACTTGCAATGAGCTTGTCAAAGTTCCGCGGAGGCTTTCCAGCCGCGTTTACACGCGGTTAGCGATGGTTTATTACTTCTCTCGCCGCCTACCGTGCTTTAGCTCAGAACTTTTACAATCCAGCTATGCCTACTAACTATCAAACGTCACGGATTTTTTTCTCTCGTGGGTGGACTCCTCGAGTATCCAAATGTTCGTGCTTAAAAAGTTTCTCGGTACGATTAACTCGCAATTTATCCCACAGAGTGTTACCCGAGCTGTCCAACGACCCAACTTTAAAGAAGTAATCTTCGTTTCTTCGAATCGAACGCAGCATCCGGCGTGCGCCGATCCTAGATACGATCGATAATTTCGCAGTTATTCAAGTTGAAACTCGTCCAGGAAGTCGTCAGCTGCCTCAACGTCTGTCTCTGTATCTTTTTTTTTCTGTCTGTCCCTTTCTCTGGTGTGAGTCGTTGATCTGTCTGTTCGCAATCATTCACGTACCGAGCGCAAAAGCGATCCCTGGTGCGAAACGCCTTCTCCTCGTCGGCCAGGTGTGTTCCTCGCCGAACGACGTGAAAGAAACAAACGTAACAGAGAAGGCGGACCGCCTACGTTCGACACTTTCCTGCGTACGTGCGTGTGTGTGCAGCCTAACGATGATCGTAGATAGTCACGTAGATCTTACAACTGTATTATTTCGCTGTGGTTCTCCGTGGCAGTCGTTGAGAAACACCGAGGAACCCGAGACGATGAACGCCGCCTTGCGGATCGGGCGATCGGAAACGATCGCTCGCCTCTCCGTAGACCTGTTGTTTATTACTTGGCACGACATAGAATGCTGGAGGGATGCGTGCACGTCCTCCTCGATGAACAGCCTCTGGTCGAAGTAACTCGCGACGATCCCATTGTACAAGCATTTCTGATCTTGACGATCTGTTACCACGATGACCTCTTGACCTAGATGATCCGCTATGACAGATACTCGATGTCTGATATCGCACGGAGTTAAGGATGATAAGGAGTTAAGGAGGGATAAAGTGGCCTATTAACGGTGCTGTGGGAGCGTTCTCCCACCCACCGCAAGGATTTCCATCATTTCCCTCAAGTTTCGACACCTAATCGTCGATTCCTCGACCGTCTAATTCATCGTCTATCCTCTTATTCGAGGGACATATATTAAGTTGTCCCAAAAGTTTCTTTCGTTTCATTAATGAGTGGACTGCGGACTTTTATGCAAAATAAAATCTTGGTAAACATACCTACAAAAATTCAACCTAAATAGGAATTTGTTTTACTCTGCAAATATTATAATATGAACTTTACTCTTAATATTTTTTATATTCTTGCATACTGTGTCCAATTTGTAGTTTCTTGCACACTCAAATTCCCTATAAATCCATAAAACTCCGCAGTCTATTAATAAGTAATACATATACAGTATTTTATGTTTTATGTTACATTACGATTCATTTTACTTTTACAACTCAATATCAAAGAAATTAGATTGTCTATTTATATAAACGCCAACGCACGAAATAATTGAGTGTAACTCACAAGAGAAACTTTTGGGACAACCTGATATATACAGTCAGTCCCATAAACATATTTTTACCCTTTACGTCTATTGAAGAAATTTGTTTAAATTGAATGATAGGTTTGATGTTTCCAAGTCTATGTTTGTATAAATATGTTGATGCATATATAAGTATATACATGTATAAGCTTATTCATATACATATTTATAATGAAAAATTTATTTGGCAATATCGAAACTATTACTTAATTTAGTCAAACTTCTTGAATAGACATGGGGGGTACGAATATTTATGGTATCGTTATACAGTATCTGCATATATATACTATATACAGTATCTGCATATATATCAGTATTATATACAGTATATATATATATCAGTATTATATACAGTATATATATATATATATATCAGTACTATATACAGTATATATAGTATATATATAGAGTATCTGCATATATATCAGTATTATATACAGTATCTGTTCATATTATATATTTAGGAGGATATATGCAGATACTGTATACCATAAATATTCGTACCTCCTATGTCTATTCAAGAAGTTTGACTAAATTAAGTAATAGTTTTGATATTGCCAAATAAACTTTTGTATATATACATATATGTATAAATACGTATAAATATATATATATATTCTTTATATATATAGTCTCTTTCGTAATGCAATGTCGAGCTTTCGGTCATACCTGCGTTGGATCTCTGTTCTCCTGCCTTTATTTTCTTACAATGCTATACTGTGTTTGTATTCGCTATTCTATTTCTGATCCAACCAGACTATACACACTTTCAATATTCTATGTGTTTTTGTGTCGTGATTCTTGTAAGATGTCTTAGCTGGGCCCTTTGGTCCCATTCCCGTCCGAAGCCACGAGGAGGCGGATCTTCTACTTTCTTTCTGTTGGGATTTGTTATGTCCTGCTATTATTTTTATGTGTCGTTCCTTTCTGTTATTATTCGCCATGCCATTGAATCTCACGAACTCGACTGTATTCGAGAAACAGTTTGCAACCCGTCTTCCACGTTGTCTTCCCTGGTCTCACAGCCTCCGAAATAGCCACCTACAAACTCATTCGGTCTAAACATCGTCATAGAAGCGTTAGACAGCGAGGTGTAACGATCAGCGACCTTTACTTCGACCTGGTTGCCAAAGAGGACCGCAAGATCTGCTCCACGCTGCGTACTCTAATAGTTGATTAGCTAGAAAACGTCTTAGCTGTGTAACTCTGCTTGCAATCCCGCCGCGGGACCTCGTGCGGAGAGCCCGCGACGGGATCCTCACGCGGCCTGCCGACACCAGAGTAGATCAGACGAGCGTAGTAGGTACGTACACGAAAATAAAGAGAGAGACACAATACATAATACGTCCTAATCGTCTTCCCAGCCCCTCGAGTGGCCCATGGATCCCAGGACCTCGTCCATTCCTCAACACTCGCTCCACACGTATGAATATATCTCTCGTACACGCAGGAAACACTGTTTGTAACTTTGTATCGTTGGTCTCGATATCGCTGCATGCTCAGTATGACGAGTCCCGCCCGAGTACGACGACGACGCATGGGCCATCGGCCTAGCGAGGGAAAGATCCTTCCGAACAGCGAGAATGGAATCAAAGACAACTCGAATCACCTTGAATGATCTTGAATACCTCAGCACGGGTGCCACTTTCACACAGCGGATCTGTGAGACCTAGAAGAGTTCGCAGCATACGATTTCGCGAATGGCGAGGGAAGCGCTGAGGAAATCTTTCCACGCGGTCCAGTTCCCTCCAGTTTTGGACGCCCCCGCAGAACACGATCGGCTCGAGAGCAACGGGTCAGCCTTGAATCCCAGCCTGTTCTGGAAACGAAACTTCGCGAACCGATTAGCGAGCCGAAAACTTGGCGGATCGGAACGAAAGGCGAAACGGCTGACCGCGCGTCGACCCGTTTCACACTCGATTAGGTCTCGACCCAGAATCCAAGGGAACCTGACCGCTGGTCGTCGTCGTGCTCGGTCGCTACGGAGAGACGACAGGCCAGGCGCCTTCGTCGCTCGTTGTTTCGTCGTCGTCGAGGGTAACGGGACGCACGGACTGATCCTCTCCTGGACGACGAATCTTTTCGCAGCTGGACGAGCTCCGGACGGAGGTGCAGCGCCGGGATCAGGAGCTGCTCGCCATGTCCGCCAAGATGAAGACCCTCGAGGACCAGCACCAGGACTACCAGCGGCACATCACAGTGCTCAAGGAGTCTCTCTGCGCCAAGGAAGAGCACTATAATATGCTACAAGCTGACGTAAGTGATGAAGTACCCGGGTAAATACAGTTCTCTTTCCTTGAAAAGGTAGAGGGTGGCTCAGACCTCTGAAGGCTGGAACGATTATCTACGATGGTGATAAACGCATTCTGGCCAAGGAATAATGTCGATCATTGATATTCTCTCACAGTTACACTCTATTTAGCAAGTTCACTGCCAGACTAATACTCTTGAACATTTCTACTGTGATTAAATTTTGTTTACAGGCTATTGGAAACTGCTTAATAAAACACTTATTGTGGTATTTAGTTTTGTAACTTCATCAAAGTTCAAGTATTTTATTTAAATTCATTTTCTGTGACACTTAACTTTCACAATTAACTTTTTTCATTTTTAACCGACTTCGAAAAGGAAGAGGTTACTCACTTTTTTTTCTATGTATGTTACTCGATTACGTCGAGACCAATCGGGATGAAACCTGTTGCATCTTGTACAGCATGTTTCCGCGGTGGTCCCGTTACCAAAAAATGTTGGGATTTCTCATTTTTTACTTGCAAAAAGTCGAAAAATTTTGTATTGCTTCTTATTCCGAAACGAATTGACCATTCGGATTGAATCTTCTTGCATCTGATAGGGCTTCGTTGCCTTTCAAAAGTTTAAAAAGACATTTGACCTACTTCCATTTTTTACCACTTTATTGCACTTTCTATTGCACAATTGTACTATTTCACATATGTTCGGCCTGAATTCGATGAAATCAATGAAACCCTTTACATATTGCATCCGGACTCATTTTCGAGTTGATCACTTTGCAAAAATGATTTTTCTTATTGTTTATAATTCAGTGAATACTCATGTATGGGTGATGTGGCGATCAACGTGTTAAGGATTGTCGAACTATGTTGCACCTGAACCGTCTTAAGAGACTTGGTGAATTTTTAAACTATCGTGCAAAATACTATAGTAAAGTTCAAAAGATTAATAAGTTTTTGCTGGAAGCCACGACGTAGTCCAGCGTCCACCATCAGAGGCCTAACCAGAGATGGGTAAAACCCTAGGCTTCGAATAAATTTGAAGTTTGCCGATGTTTTTGTTTCGTTTCCTTTTCCGGAAAATGTTCAAAAGAGCAACGAGACAAACATATCGGCAAATTTCAGATTTATTCGAAGCCTAGAGTTTTCCCCATCTCTGTCCTCAACACCCTGCTTCACTTTCTTAGCAGATGTCAAAGTGAAACAAAGCCACATATGCTTTCAATGGTTCTCCTTAAAAAAAGAAATGATCCCCTAAAAGCCTTCCTATCAAACAGCAAACGAATACGCAAGTATCTCTCCGCAAATATCATCATTTCGACATTGAATTCAGCTCTGCACAGCCCAGGAAGTTTGTACCATTGCATGCCTGAAACTGAGACGATGACCACTTAGTCGTCATTCATATTGAAATGAATGACGTCCACCACCGGCAGCAACCCCTTAGAGGGCCACCAATCGGGGTCGAAGCTGGCGAATCGAATTCAGGGGAGGTCAACACCGAGGTAGGAGGCAGGCTGCAGGAAACTGGGTCGTGCAGAGCGTCTCTCCTCTCCTCTCCTGTCCTATTCTCCGGTTGCATCGTTCCGCAGACTGTCCGCGGCGTTTCACCTCGCGTGCATACACATACGTGCGTGGGACGTATTGCGCGCTGGTGTACAATGCGGAACGGTCCGTTCCTTCGATCAAAATCCTCGGTGCCCTCGACACGGCCGCGTAATGGACGCGTGTGTGCGTGCAGGTGGAGGAAATGCGGCAGAGGCTCGAGGAGAAGAACCGGATGATCGAGAAGAAGACGCAGACCGCCATGCAGGCGCAACAGGAGCGGAATCGCATGAACACGGAGCTCACGGAGATCAAGGATCACATGGACATTAAGGACAGGAAGATCAACGTTCTTCAGCGCAAGGTGAGTGACCTTGAAACTTATTACGCTCCAGTAGGTTAAAGGTAACCCTTTGCACCTGGGACTTGCGCGGCCCTCCGACTCCCCGTAGCTTAAATTGCGATGAACAATAACTTCTTAATTTCTTTTTTATCATTAAGAAGCAGCAATGGTTTCTTATATTGCATTCGAATAATTGATTACATACGATTATAAAGGGTTGCTTGCGTTAACCTTGCGGTATCCCTTTGCATTTAGAACTTGCGAGACCTTCAAGTGTGATTTCTTAATTTTTTTTTTATCATTAAGAAGCAATGGTTTTCATATTAGATTGTTTATTCGAATAAATGATTACATTCGAGTATAAAATTATTCAGAATTGTAAAGGGTTGGTCGCGTTTCTCTGCAGGCTTAAAATGTTACCGCTCTCATAAAGTTTGATCGTTAGAGGTACGATTATTCGAAACCAGCTCAAATATTTGCCTCTTTATTTGTTTTTATAAATACTTAACTTTGGCGGTTATCGGCGGATATAATTTCACAAGACTCGACCATTTGGATCCGCTGTTTGCACTCAAAGTAGAGTAAATTACCATTCCGACAGAGCGAACGACTAAACAACCCGTAATAACGGCCACCGTTGTAAATTAATCCTTAATTAATTGCAAAGGTCCGCTTCAATTACGAGTTGAACGTGCGTCGACGCGCGTTCATTATCCTCCCCCTGCAAGCGCCCTTCATCTTCTCAATTAGCGATCTTCCCAGTTATCCCCGTTTCGCGCAGACCTTCGTAATTTCTCGCGTCAAACGGGAATGTCACCCCTTTCTTTCAACTCTCCATCGACCGTCCAAGACGGTCCCCGTTACACCATCAAGGAACGCAGCGTCCTGAATTTATTTTCCTATCGCGTATTCAGCGCGCGAGGCTAATTTATGGTAACGAAATAATCTGACTATCCGACGATCGATGTTTAAAGCGCATGAATATGCATAGCCAGCGGTGTTGCGGATATTTGTACCGGTGTGACCATCAATTCGGGTAATAGTTCGCGTATGTGTTGCACCTCGACTGTCTCAAGTCAATACATAGTAAATTTTCTTCTGAAGACTCTAAATCTTAAATATAAATATTCTGTACGTGCCACTGACCTTCCTTAATTTCGAAACTAACGTGCAAAATACTATAGTAAATTCGTTGGAAAGATTAATACATCTTTTGATTATTTTAAATTGTCGCTGGAGGGTGGTGTGAGTATTTTCAATCCAGGGCGATAGAATCGCAGGATAATGGAGTAGGAGATACAAGCTAGCGTTGATACATGGAAATGGTGAAATGTGAAACACCCCCTCTGGGCAAGTAGAGAAATTGGAGACAGAACAAACTTTCGCTTCAAGTTGTCGAGGGGTTGGCACATTGTTTATTCTGCGGGATCCTCGGCTATGCAGGAATCCAAATTGCTTGAAATGGGACGGTGATAACGGGGATTGGCTGGACCTATTGGAATCTTTCTGGTTCACTGTGGTTTACGTTAAAATGGATTGGATCCTTACCACTATCGACAAAATTAATTCAGTTGGATCAACGTAACCGTAGAAACCAGGGTCAGCACTTTGTACTGAAATTAAATTAGCAAACTAAATTCTCATTAATATTATAATACTTGTATCTCTTTACTTCCACAAACGCACACAGCTAAATAACCTCCGGCACGGTCAGCACTCTAAAAAAATCTATACTCTCCAATAAACAAACGCATCGATAACAAAAATACGCTTCGGCGATCAACGATGCCATCAGGTCACGTTTCACAACTCCCTTTAATCCCTCATCCCTCGAAAGGACCTGTAAACTCAAAAAAAAGAGCGCGAGAGATCGAGCGACCGCGTCCGACAAGCATCGTCCATTATCGCTCAAAGTGAATTTAATCAGCGTCATCAGCATTAGCCGTGAAAAAAGCATAATCATCACCACGTTTCTCCACCGTCTGTTAATTGATTCCAACAGGAACGAAAGTGGTTTTCGTCCAGCGATTAATTAGCCCAGCGTCAAAGAGGAAGCGCGCACATTTAACGTAAGATAGTTCCTACAATGCGACTGCGGCCAGTGCGCATGAGTGTAAATCATGACGTCGATTGGTGTGAGTGAGGCGTGCGCGTGCTCGTGCAACATATATTTTTGCAATGTTATTTTTTGTTAGCCCCGTAGTCGATAGTGTACCAGCTGTCGTACGTTTAAACGCGGCTCACCTGTTCTATCCTTAAGTTTTCGCACCCCTTTTAGTTGGCCAGTGCTGTTTCGCTGCCATTAAAGACTGTATTTCTTTGTTATCTATTCTTTGTAAAAGTGCACCTGTGTTTTTCATCTGTGATCGATCGCGACTGTCGAACCTTTAGCCTTACCATTTTTACTCTTAAGTTTTCGCACCCCCTTTAGTTAACTAGAGTTCCTTTGTACCTGTCAATAAAGACCTTGTATTTCTTTGTTATTTATTTTCCGTAAAAGTGAATCTTCGTTGTTTTTTTATCGGTGATTGATCGCGACTGTAGAGCGTTTAAACGCGCCTTGCTATTTTAATTCTTAAGTCTTCGCGCTCTCCCTTAGTTGTCTCCCTGCCAATAAAGACTTATGGAAATTATGTTGCGTTACATTTTTATTTCTCTGTTATTTGTTTTATGTAAAAGTGCACCTTCATTGTGTTTTCCACCATTGTGATTGATGACAGTTGGGTCAGGGGGTGGCGAAGATGAAATTTCGTAAAAAATGACTTCCTCTACTGTCACCAATTATTGGTACGAATCACCGCTTCATGGATTATTTTTACCATTTTTTTCCGTTTTAAATGCTGTATAGAAGAACTTTTGTTTTTATCATTTTGCTCTTTTCTGCAGTTGTCATGCGTTATTAGTTGCTATTATCGCGAGTACAAGGGGTGTCCTACTGGAAACTTTAATATCTTCGCTGTTTCAAGTAAAGGGAAGAGTTATTGACTAATGCAGGATACACGAGTGCATGTGAAGTTGACCTTGAAGTTTCTATGTCACCATCAAAGTTTGTAAGCAGTGATTCTTCTCATTGTTCAAAACAGCAAAGAAATTCGAGCAGGTATTTCTAATGGGACACCTCGTACAGTTGTGTAAATGCATTGTGGATGTCTGAGAAGATTGCTGAACATGAGATGGCAGGTAAGTGAGTACTTACGATCAAGTTAACAAATGCCCATGCTAAAATCACTAAAAATAACAAAAATACATAATAAATTACAACATAAAATAAAATAAAAATAGATAATTGTAATAGTTTCATAATAATATCTGCTGTGACCAGAATATCTAACCAGAGTATCTAAACGTTTATTGTAACCGATAACAAGCTTCTCTTGACTGTCTTCTTACTGTTACTAATTCCTCGGAGAAATCTTTTACCACTAACGATCTCCACGTTTTCACTCGATGCCCTGATGAATCATCCCCAAGGGTTCCTTGCCGCCTTTCATTAATCTCGGGGAGATCCTAATTTCTGTTCATTCTCTTCCACGACTGAATTGAAACAAAATGCTGAAATTCGAATGGTCACGACGGCGTCGTTGTTCCTTCAGATCGAGAATCTGGAGGATCTGTTGAAGGAGAAGGACAACCAGGTCGACATGGCCAGGGCGCGTCTGACGGCAATGCAGGCGCACCACTGCAGCAGCGAGGGTGCACTTAGTAGCCTCGAGGAAGCGATAGGAGATAAGGAGAAGCAAATGGCGCAATTACGCGAGCAGAGAGATCGGGCGGAGCAGGAGAAGCAGGAAGAAAGGGAATTACACGAGAGGGAGCTCGCCGAGTACAAAATGAAAATTCACGCCCTCGAGTCTGAGGTGAGTTTAGCCCCCTACCCCCTCTTACAGTGGTAATTCGACAGATTCTCAGTTAACAAGTCCTGAAGGTTCTCGTCGACGGAAATAGGCTTCTATTGGTCACCCTGTTCAATGGATTAGATCGTTTCTGCTTCTATAATATCAATTATTAATTAGATGGAGAAAGAACTGCTTTAGTAGCTTCTTAATTAATAAGTCTCGATTCTTTAAGAGTGGCAGACAATTTTTATACCGTTCCTGATCATATAGTGCCGATTATTATATCATCTGAATTAGATTGATAATCAACTATCCTTTCCTATAGAGATTCTTAATCTACGAATCTCAATTTTCTTGATAGTGGCAGACAATTTCAAGACTCGCGTGACTTACCATAGCCCATAAAATAGCTGACATAAAAGCAAGTCGAAGATAGTTCGTTGGCCAAATCTCTGACGTGTTGGCAAACTGTTCACAGGTCGAGAAACTGGGCGCCCGTCTGGAGAGGGCGCAAGCGGAGAAGGACAGATTAGAGGCCAAGTTGGAAAGCTCGCAATCCGAGCTGGGCAAGAGCAAAGCGGAGCTTGACAAAGCTGCGTCCGAAGTTGGTCGCAGCGGCGCCGACTGGGAGGCTGCCAAACAGAGGCTGACCAGACTGGAGCTGGAGAACGAGAGGCTCAGGCACGACCTAGAGAGGTCGTCGACCACGTACGGAAGAAGTTCGTTGAACACCACCCAGGAAATAGACAGGATCCAGGAGCGAGCTGAGAAAACAGCTGCCGAACTCAGGAGGGCACAGGCGGAGCTTAGGGTCACGCAGGCGGACAATGAGAGAGCCAGGGCTGAGGCTGCCGCCCTGCAAGAAAAGGTATCTGTTCAAGGCAATTGTTCTCCTCTTGGTAATCGTTTAAAAGTGTAATCGTTTGTTAATAATCGTTTGTTAACCTCGATGCACTGGAGGACTAGGGTCATTTGAAAGGCAGATGAATTATTTGACCAAGGTCACATATGGTTCGCCTATTTCTTCCTTCAACGAACTTGTTAATCTTTAATTCCATTTTATGATGGCATAGACTAAAGTAATATATCCAGATAAATTGTTTGACCAAGGTCAAACATGGTTCGTCTATTTCTTCCCTCAACAAACTTGCCAATCTTTAATTTCATTTCATGATGACATAGACTAAAGTACTATATGCAGATAAATTGATTATCCATGATTAGATATGTCTATTCCACATCTTCCTTCAACAAACTCATGAGCGAATCTTCAACTTCATTCTGTGACGACATGGATTAGTTTATGGAGATAAATTGTTTGGCTAAGATCACATATGTCTTGTCCACTTCTTTCTTCAATAAACTTGTAAATTTTTAACTTCTCTGATCTGGTTGATGTTAGCAAAAGTGTCAAAATTTGATAAACTTGGCACTTTCTTCTATTAAAGCTTCATTAACGAGGTAATAATCAAACTATCTTTCTCATGCCTTTGTGCTAGCGAACCAGTGAAGTCGATTGAAGCCCAAAGGGATCCAAATTCGCGGCTGAATCATTTCCTCCGTTAATGACGCTTCCGCGGAGCCAAGGGACCACGCGATTTCGATCCACGAAAGATCCACGCATCGCGAAATCGCGTTCCTTTCGCTTACGGACCAACGGCCGCAGTCGGAAGTAACCTGAACCAATCCCCTGTCCAGTAATAGGCGCCCCGTCGTCCAGCGACCATTAATCGACGACCGAGTCGACTTAGCAGCTTTGCTCGTCTCCCAAGAACCAAGAACAATGGACGTTAATAGCGATCGATGCTAAGTCTAACCGCGATTTCTGTCCGTCGATCAGACGAAGTCTAATTTCCAATCACGCGCCCGTTCTTCTCAGGGTCGTTGCTCTTCCGGGGCTTCGTAGATGGCCCGAAACGAACCGGTAATGAAACTGTCGGTTAAGTGGCTGGAAAATTGCACGCAGCCCTAAATAGAGTCCGAGACATTTGAATGGGATTTTTTTTTGTAACGAAGGTGTCCGATTTTCTCAACCGGGAGCTTTAGATCTTCCTCTTATTTTTTTCTTAAAACAGATACAAGGAATAGATTAGACTTGATTAAAATGATAATTCATAGAAAATACCGTGTGAAACAAATAATACAAATAACGATGTTCATTCCTATGACATTTAATGAACAAAGTAAGTATTAACAGTTATTGGTCTATTAGGTGGAGGCGAAATGAATTTTAATTATCGCGACACGATGAACAGAGAACTTTAGGGTCATATTAATAATGAATCGGTGGCAGCATGTGTGTAGTTTCTCTAATGGCGTAGCTATTAAGGGTTGCAAGACTCCTGGAAAATTAATTTTGCCTCCATAAATCAAGGACGAAAGGAAATTAGCAGATTCTTGTGCAAGTAGTTGTCTCCAGCGTCGATGCAATTGAAACTTAACTACTTGAAACTCAAACTTAATTACTTGAAACGGTGCATTTACAATTACCTAATATTCAATTGATCACAGTTATTTGCAAGTAATTCGTAAGCAACTAATACTCGATTTTTAACTATAAAGGATCGATGTTCTTTCTCGAAATACAATTAAATTCAAGGCAAATTTTAGCCGCAATTAATTTAATTTTTATTGACCTATCCATTTTTAACGCTAATGTCGTTGTTTTCGAAGGTGGAGAAGAGTCAGGGCGAGGTGTATAGGCTGAAGGCCAGGCTGGAGAACGCTCAAGGCGAACAGGAGAGTCTTCGAGACGAGTACGACCGAGCCCAAGCGTCCGTGGCCAGACTTCACTCGGAACGGGACAAAGCGATAGGAGAACTCGAGAAAGCGCAAGAGGAACTCGAACGCACTCAGGCGACTCTTGGCAAATCGCAGCTTCAGCAGGACAAGCTGCAGAATCTACTGGACAAGACCCAAAGCGAAGTGGACAAGCTTCAGGAGAAGCTCGACAAAACTCAGACAGAAATTCGCAGGGTGAGTAAAATTCTTTCGATACTTACCGACGAAGAATTTATCTCCGACTCTCAGAATGCTATCTCAAGGATCCTGTTCGTCTAACTTGCCAACAATGAAACTTTCAAATCTACAGATGCAAATGGAACGGGAGAAACAGAATTACGACTTTGAGAATCTGCAGAGCCAGCTGGATAAAGCGCTTGGCCAGTCGACGAGGATGCAAAAGGAACGAGAAACGATCCAATTGGAGGTCGATCGGCTGCAGGACAAATACGAGAAGGCTCAGGTAAGGTTGTTAGTTGATATTTCAGGTGGCTTCGTCAGTCTCTGACAATTTGAAATATATCTAGAGCTAAAGGATTTGAAATAAATTAATAATATATTCCATGAATATAATCAAATGGAACATATATTTTAATATATTTAAGATTAACTGTTTATATACATTTATGAATTCAAATTGCATGTCACATGTAATTCATGTAATTCTAATTAATCAATAATTGTTTATAATACATAACATGTCAGCTTTTACGAAGTAATATATTATAAATTTAAAATTATATTTATACTTGAATATACAAGTACAAATAGGTATTATAGGTACAATAATATATTCCCGTTCCATTTAATTACAAATAAAACTGATCCCATGAAAGCAGTGTTAGTCACGCTTTCGTCTTGTGTCCCACAGATCATAATGCAGCGACTGCAGAAGGAGCGAGACGGGTTCCAGGAGGAAACGCAGAAGCTGCATGAGAGGATAGAGTTCCAGCAGAATCAGATAGCGAAGATGCAACGAGAAAAGGAGAACGTACTGTCTGAGCTCGACCTGGTGAAGGAGCGATGGGAGAAGGCGCATAATTCTCATCAGAAGCTAACCGTGAGTAACTAGCTCTAGTTGACAACTGGTGACGAATTTGTACGATGACTTTTCTGTTTGATTGTCGTCGAGCAGCTCGAGCGAGACGACGCAGTGACCGAGATAGAGATCCTGAAGGAGAAACTGGACAAGGCTCAGTATTCCATGAACAAGGCGCACGAGGAACGGGAGAACGCGAACAAGGAGTTCGAAAAGATGCTGGAGAAGTACGACAGGTAAATCAGCGTATCCTTTCGAAATAGCTTCATCGGTATAATTGAGAATGGACACAGACTTACAGTCAGTCCAATAAATATTCGTATCCTCTGTGTTTATGAAACAAGTTTGTTTAAATTAAATGACAGGTTCGACGTTCCAAATAAATTTTTCATTCTACACACATACACATGTAAAATTTACTTATGTACATATTTATTATAGAAAATTTATTAAGTAACATCAAACCTATCATCTAATTTAATAAAATTTCTTCAATGGACATAAAGGGTACGAATATTTATGGGAGTATATAACGAATCAACATAATAGGCATCTACCAGTTGCTGGAAGGTGTATGCATAGTTGAAACGATACTGTCCGAACTATCGCATTCAACCGCATTCCAACCACTCCTAGAACTAATCAAACACTGACCATCGTTTTCTGACCCCACGACAGAGCGCAAAGCGAGGTCTACCGACTCCAGAATCGCATCGAAGTGATGGAGGCCGACAGAGACCGGCTGGAGCTCGAAACGGACAAGCAGCAGATGCTGGCAGGCAAGAGTCGCGAGGAAGCGCGCAAGGCGCAAGAAGAACTGGCCAGAGTGCAAGAGATGTACGACAGAGCGGCGTTGCAGCTAGGCCGCACGAAGGAGCACGAGGAAAAGTCGAAGGAGGACCTCGACAGAATGGCCGTGGACCTAGAGATGGTTCGCGAGCGATACGAAAAGTCCCAGATCGAGCTGCGTCGTCTGCAGAACGAGAGGGAGAAACTGGTGGCGGACAACGAGCGGATCAGCTTCGAGCTGGAGCGCGCGCACTCGCAGCTAAACAAAGCTCAGGCTGCGACGGAGAAAACGCAGGAGGAGCTGGTCAGAATGCAGCAGGAGATCGAGAAGATGTACGAGAAACACGACAGACAACAGGCGGAAGTGAGGAAGGCCCAGGCGGAGACGGAACGTCTGCGCGTGGAGGCCGAGAGCGCTCGCGAGGAAAGCGAGAGGTACGCGGCCAGGTTCGGCAAGTATCAAGAGAGCCAAGAACGGCAGAAGGAGGAGCACGAGCGGGCGAAGCTGGAGGTGGAGCGGCTGAGGGATCGTCTGGAGAAGGCGTTGGCGGAGCTCGAGCGCGCGAGGAAGGCCGAGCAGGACACCTCGAGGCTGCGCGCCGATTTGGAACGTGCGGAGGGCGTGCGAGGTAAATACCAGTACGAGCAGGAGAAGTGGCAGAGCGAGGGTAGTAGGCTACAGCAGGAGGTGGAGAAGCTGCGGGAACGTCTCGAGGGCCGTGAATCGGAGCTGAAGAGGACGCAGACCGGGAACGCCGAGCTCGAGGCGAAGCTGCACGAGACGCAGCTTCAGCTCGAGCGGGCGCGCGAGGAGACCGCCAAGGCAACCGCGGCGCAGGAACGGAATCGCGGCGAGATCGAGCGCGCTAGAATCGAAACCGAGAAGATACGCGACCGTCACGACAAGGTGAAGGCGAGAGCGGACGCCCTGGAGGCGGACAACGAGAAGCTCCGCGTCGAGATCGTCCGACTCGAGAGGTTGATGCAAACGGAGGGTAAGACCAGGTCGGAGAGCGCGAGCATCGAGGTAGAACGGTTACGCGCCAGTCTGGACAAGGCGATCATAGCTAGGGATCAGGTGGAGCTCGAGGCGGGCAGGCTGGCCAAGGAGCTCGAGAAGACGCACATGCAGACGGCCAAGTTCCAAGAGGCCGCCGAGGCGAACAAGAAGGAGCTGGAACGGCTCGCCGCGGAGACGCAATTGCTGAGGGACGAGCGCGAGGCGCTCAGGCAGGAGCTGCGCAGGGTGCAGCAGCAGCAACAACAGCAACAGCAGCAGCAACAGATCGCTGGCAGCGAGGAGATGGCGCATCTGCAGCACGAACTGCAGCTCGCCCAACGGGAACGCGACAAGATGGCCGCGATCCTCGAGAACCGCGAGAAACACTCGGAGAAGATCGAGAAGCTGAAGGAGAAGCTCGAGGCGGAGGCGAAGCAGCTGCAGGTGGAGCGCGATCAGCTGGTGATACAGCTGGAGAAGTCGCAGGAGATGCTGGTGAACTTCCAGCAGGAGTTGAACGCGAACGAGGCGGAAGTCGAGCGTCAACGGGACGAGGTGCGTCGGTTGCAGCAGCTGCAGCAACAGAGGGCTCACGCCCAGACGCCCGACAGGGCAGCCAAGGAGGCGCTCGAAGCGCAGATGCGGGAGGTGCATCGGCTGACCCAGCAGGTGCAGACCCTGACGCAACAGCAGACGAAAGAACGACAGAGGGCCGAACAGGCCGAAAAACGGGTGCAGGAGCTGCAAAAGCAGATCGCCTCGAGGGACACGTCGGCTGGCGGGAACGACGCGCAGCTGGAGCAATGGCGAAAGCTCTACGAAACGGAGAAGCAACGGGCGGACGCTGCCGACAGGCAGGCCACGGAGCTGCAGAAACGCATCCAGACGACGGAAAGGCAGCTGCACGTCCAGCAGCAGCAGATCCAGCAGATGCAGACCACCATGCAGCAGCAACAGCTCCAGCTACAACAACAGCAGCAGCAGCAGCAGCAGCAACCGCAGCAGAACGGCCAGGAGGCCGCCAGGTTGAGAAAGGATCTAGAACGCGCGCGAGAGGAGCTTAAGCAGGCGGCCGTCGAGCGCGAGCGGTTCCAGGCGCAGCTCGAAATGCTGTGCCAGGAACTCGAGAAAAATCAGGTTAGCAGCACGACCTGCACTCGCTCGCGCTGACCTAAAACACTACGCCTACACCCGCACAGTCTGCACTCCTCTGTTCGCCTAATCGTGACCGATCGTTGTCGACCGGCTGCCGACACACCGCGCCTCTCGTCTCTCTATGTCTTCTCATTTCAACCGCAGCCTCTGCCTTCGTCGTCGACGAAGCAGATACTCGCCCACAGCTCATACACGCCGCAAAAAAAAAAAAAAAAAATATTCAAATATAACTGAACGATCACGACCGAACCGATAATCATGTATATATACAGACGAGACCGGAAACGATGCACCCGCACATCTTTCTCATCTTTGTGTTGCGTACATGTATAATCTCCGGGCGTCCGTCACACTTCACAGCGAAGCGCAACATCGCCTTCACCATATATCATCCCCCATTCAGACCTTCCTTTTTCAAGCGACCAACACCCACGATCCCGATCGACCATTGCGATCACCTTTCAGGCCAGCCTCGCGTTGCGTGCAATCTAACGCGGCGCAGCGTACCGATTCGTTCATTTATTTCGTTTATGAAAGACACGAGTGGATCTTTCTCGTGAACAGTTTAAACAAAAATATACGAATCATGCTGCGCCACGTCAAATTGCGCTTGATGCGCGACCACTTTCAAGCACAGCCATTCGCGCGCTCATCGCTCGTTTTCTTTTCGTTTACTTTAGATTTCGAGTACGTTCGATCGTTTATGCCGTTTTTATCGTTATGTTTGCTGTTGTTATTACCGCCAGCGACACCGAGGGGACGAACGGAATTATCTTCCATTGAAATTATCTTTCGTACTAAAGAAAACCAGTAAATAAAATTCCAGAAGTCGACGATCGCACTGATCGTCTCCTGGGTCGCAGGGGGTATGCTCGACACGTTATTGTTATTGCTGTTGTTATGTTTGCGCGTGCGACGACGAGCAACATACCTCAAGCATCGCTGTTTTTGTTCCCTTGTTTTCGTTCGAGCAAGCACCGATTCCAGAGACAGAAAACGGCTGGTACGATTGTAAGCGACGAACAGGCGATTGTCGTTCTCTTGATCGGTGCACGCTCGGCGTGTCATGCGTTTTGCTCTTCGTTGTAGACATAAATTTATTCACCTGGTGACAGTTTTTATCACGACGCATATATATATTTCTTTGTGTATATATTTATACCTCGCCGCAAACGCCACTAGATTGCGAGAAAGCGATCTTCTCGATTGTGCGTGACTTATTTTTAATTGCGATTCATGCATTTCTCATTTTACCCGGCGCCGTGACCATGACGACCAATGGAGCACGTCCCCAGATTTCACTTCGATTCAAATTTGAACATTTCTAGGACCCTGTCGTTGACCCCGACGAATTTTCGACGCCTCTGAACTGGTTTCTAGAAGCTCTTAATGCAATTGAACAGAGTCCATCGGACCTCCGAGTATCCCTACGTGAATCTAAATTAATTTTAAAGAATACAAAACACTCGTCTCTTTGACAAAGATATGATTTAAGCAGCTTGCACTTTGGTAGCAAAAGAAAATGAATTCGGCGCGATCAGGCACCCACCGGTGGTGCAAATTCTGCGAAATGGTCGCGGCCCTAGTATGGCGGCTTTCATCTGCCTATTTAGCTGTAGCGTCGCACGAACCGAATGGATTTGAGATTTACAATTAACGTTTCGACGTAGGTGGACTTGCACGAGGCGAACAAGAAACTCCAAGCTGGCGGAGGGAAACCTGGTACCGACACTACTCAAGAGAAAAGACAGCTGGAGGAACAGAGACGCCAACTGGAGGAGCAGAGAAGACAGATGGAAGAGCGAGCGAAGTCCGTAGATCAGAAAGCTAGAACGATAGAGGAGAAGGAGAGGACGCTCCAAAGTCTCGACCAGGACCTGAAGAAACGGAAAGCGAAAATGGACCAGCTGGAGCAGCAGTTGCAGAGGGTAATCCACGCAGATTACTTCAACCCTTTGCACTCCGAATAATATTTCAATTTCATTATGAGCAGCTCCAAACATTTTCAAGTGCTTTATTTGAAATTTACTTTAACTAAAAAATTAGATAATTTAAATAAATAAAGGAAGAAACGAATTCACTTAAATACCAGTTTTATTGTCACTTTTGCTGTATTTTGTAATTTTCAAGTGTATGATATCTCTTGAAACAATTTCCTTCACTATTGATTTGAGATAAAAACCGATTTCGAGTCACACTTGACACAGGAGTGCAAAGTTAAATGTAGCGTTTACTTCTCAACCTATCAGGAAGAAAAGTTTCAACAAAGTTTCTATCGTGGAAATATACATTTAGTATGTCTTGATCGCTGTGTTTCTTCGAACAGAGCGGTGGGTCGCCGGACAAAAGATTGGCGGAGATGCAGAAGAGTCTCGAAGCTGCAGAGAAAGAATTGGAAAAAGCGAAACAGGAGTCGACCAGAAGCGCTGCAGAGACCGAGAGGCTACTGCAACTGATGCAGATGACTCAGGAAGAGCAGAACTCCAAAGAGAGACAAATCAGAGAACTTCAAGAGTCAGTACCAGTTATTAATATTTCTCAATTTACACTTTCTGCAGTTTTTTTTATGAGACATTATATTTGACAATAATATTTAATCCATTCCTTACAGTGCACTAAAAGCCGCACAAGCCAAGTTGAAACAAGCCGCAACTGCACAGCAACAAGAGGTCAGTGCGCAAGTTACATTTCTAGCGATCTACTAACAAAATATCTAATATAATGAAATAGTTGGTTAATTATTACTAGACTGCGGATCTTTATGGATTTATAGGAAATTTTAATGTGCAAGAAACTACAAAGTGCAAACAATATGCAAGAATTTGAAAAAGATTGAAAGTAAAGTTCTTGTTATAATATTTGCAGAGTAAAGTAAATTCCTATTTAGGTTCAACTTTTGTAGGCACGTTCGCAAAGATTTTATTGTGCATAAAGATCCGCAGTCCAATTATTATATTTAACGATACAGTCAGTCCTATAAGTACCTGTACCATCTATATCTATTGATTTATTTAATTTAAATGATGTTCCAAATCAATTCTCCAAAAGTCACGTTTTCAAATCAATTTTCCATTATAAATATGTACATGAATAAACTTCAAACTTCTTATTTCTTTACGCGAATCAAAGATTATCTTGCGATCCTGGTCTCTATCGATCGACAAGTGCACGACTAACGATTTTTCTTCTTGAATTTCCACGCTGCTCCTGGATACGACACGTACACACATACGTATTTGTTTGCTTGATTTATCATGTTTGCCTTCTGTCTGTGTTTGTCCCTCCATGTTTGTACACCTTGCCCTAAAAAAAAAAAAAATAAACCGAACCGAAACTGTGCGTCTCCGAATGACATGTTGCACCCTTAAAAACAAAAACCTGAAAACGAATATAAAAATGTGTTAAAATATTTTTGCTAAAAATCAGGCGGGTCCCGCCGGATTCCTAAAAAGCTTGTTCTAAGGTCGATTTTCGTTGGGGACGCCTTCTCCGTTCTTTTTAGTACAATTTGCATATTAAGCGGAACTTTACAAGTACACGAACTTATTATACGAAACTAATTAAACGAAAGGATCGTACCGATTCGCCCATGAACAACACACGTCAAGATATATAATTATTTTACGTAACGCTGCGACCATTGTTATCGTATTTAATAATTATAGCGGGAAGATAATGACGATAATAACAATAATTCTTGATATATATATATATATATAAATATAAATAAATATAGATATATATATAAATATAAATATAAATGTAAAGGTAAATGAGAGAGGACAACGGCAACAATAATGTTAATTATTATTACCGATGCGATGATATATATATATACATATTACGCAAGAGAAAGGGACAGACGCATGTGTGTACATGTGTATATACACGTACGCTGCAGAGATATACGTATGTAGATATATTAATATATAAATGTATACATAAATCTAAGATGTGAAATGGTGAGAGAGGCCGAGGCAGAGAACGTCGAACTGGGAAGAAAGACAGAACGACATAGTTGAATCGTATAGAGGCTGAAGACGTTTCCACGTATGCCATGGACGATGGATTCGACGAAAGTAAAATAAAAGAGAGAAACGAAACATAAGCAGAAGCAAAAGCAAAAGCAAAAGGGAAAATCATTGAGATCGACCAGAAAAATACATGAAAACAAAAGAAAAAGAAAGCTTTCGGATCGTGGCACGATCGCAGCCATTCGGAGACGCACCCTTACGTCGTGCAGCACGATACAGTTTTAATGCACACGGGCTGAACTCCTTATTCCCATCCACATGTCCGCCATTTTTTTCTTTCATCTACTTTTCTTTGCGTTGTCACCCCGTCGCCTTCGCACACGTACCGACGCACGCACACAGGACCTGGAAACGGTGAAATACCAAGCCGAGAACGCGAGAGGGGTCGAGGAAAGCAGGAAAAAGGAGCTAGAAGCGAAGGACAAGCGAATATCGGAGCTGGAGCTGAAGGCATCCTCCCTGGAGAGGCTGCTAAAGGAGCAAGCGTGCTCAAAGAAGATGAAGGACGCCAGGAACGTCAGCCTGGAGGACAACGACGGCTGGAAGAAGGAGCTGGAGCTGAAGAATAGACGAATAGCCGAGCTAGAAGGCGAGCTGATCGCCTGCAAGATCATCGAGGACATCAACAATACGTCTACGCAGAGTTCAAAGCTGACCGATGAACTCAAGGAGGAGAAAGACTCGTGGAGGAAGGAGCTGGAGGTCAAGAACAAACGCATATCGCAGCTAGAGGACGAGATCGAGGCTCTGAAGAGGCTGGTGAAGGAGGACGGCGAAACGTCCAAGTCCATGAAGTGCGAAACCGAAGCGAAAGACGAGAACCAGTCCTGGAAACAGGAGATCGAGACCAAAAATCGACGAATCGTCGAGCTAGAGCAGGAAATGAAATCTCTGGAGAACTTCCTCAGGGAGCACGCTGATACAGAGAGCGTACGAGACCTGGAGATCGTGATTAAGAGGAAGACTAGGAGGATAGAGGAGCTGGAGGACACCGTGGCAGAGTTCGAGGACTTTCTCAAACAGAATCCCGACGTGAAAGAGCTGCACGATCTTCGTTGCCAGGTGACAGCTGGGAACAGACGGATCCAAGAGTTGGAGAGGTGGATACAGAAGAACGGCGAGAACAGGGAGGCGAGGATCGGTCAGGAGAGGGTCGTCGAGCTGGAGGAGATGGTCACGCAGCTGGAGGAGTACGTGAGGAAGCACAACGTGGACGGACTGAAGAGGAAGTTGCAGGATCGAGAGTGCAGGATCGAGCAGCTGCAGAGCCGTGTTGGGTATTTGGAGAAGGAGCTAGTGAAGGTTGAGGAAAGTTGTCAAGGTAAGAACGTGGCTTGGATATCTGGAAGTCTATTTGATCTAAATTCATCTAAAATTGAGCCGTTCACTACACAAATCGATTAACTCCACCAGTCACATTAAAATTGTAATTTTACTGATGATTATTTTTTGGCTATTCTTTCTTATTAGTTTTATATACCGCTAAATGAAAGCTTCATCTGTATATGTTTGTATTCTACAATATTTATTTGAATTTATATTATTACGGGAATTTTAAAAAACAATGTACATTACTTCATCGCATTTTTCGATTTATTGTTTATGGAGTTACTCGATTTGTCCAATGAATAGCTCAATAACGAACCTTGTTTTTAGCCGACTTCGAAAAGGAGGAGATTATTTACAAAAGCATTGGGCCGAACTTGTAAAATTTTCAGGAAAGGAAGCACAAAAGAATCATCGAAACGTCCAAGACAGAGGGACAGGAATGAAGCCAGACGATCTTCCCTGCGATCACCCGACTAACGACGAGGCCTCAGAGCTGATCAATAAGGAGCAGAAGATGAAGAAGATGGAGCACGCTATCTCTGAGAAGGACAACAGGATCCACGCGTACGAGCAGCAGATTGCGGAGTTCAAGGACGAGATAGCGAAGCTGAGGAAGGAGACGGATGCTCTGAAAAAGGAGCTGAGCCAGTATGACGACATAGGTGTCCTCAAAGAAGAGATCAGGGTCAGAGATGAGAGGATTCAACAGCTAGAGGATGAAATAGACTTTCTGGAAAGAGCCTTCAACGAGAGGATCGACCTCGACCAGATCGAGGAGCTCATGAACGTTATAAAGGAAAAGGAGGACAAGGAGTGCCTGATGTCCAAGGATCTCGCGGAAAAAAGAAACAAAATCGAGGAACTCGGAGAGGCTCTTCGCCAAAGCGTCGTCATTGCCAGCGACAGTGAAAGGAAATTGAAGAATGAAGAGAAGATGAGGAAGGAAACCCTTCAAAAAGTAAGCAGAAATGTGTTTAATTAATTATGCTTGTATTGGGTTGTCCAGGAAGTTTGTGCCAATTTTTAAGGAACATTCAAAGGCACGTTTGAACTTTGAAATATATTTATTGAATTATATAAGTACCATTTTGTTCCATAACTTTTCCACTTTGTAAGGGATGTGCACATGTTATTTGTTTTCACTCATGTTTTCAGACCTGTACCACCTACCAAAAATCGGCATGGACTTTCCAGGGTTACCAATATTTTATGTATACATTGCCAGTTTGTCTTTCTCACAGGTAGCCAAGTTGGAGCAGAGGATCGCGTCGATGCAATCAACTTCGGCGTTGAAGTGCATCACCTGTCAACCCCTCCTGTCCAAGTTGCAGAAGTACGAAACGAAGCTCCAACGACTCGCCGAAGAAAGAACTGCGCAGCTCGAGGATCTACGTCAAGTGAAGTGAGTGAATTCAAGTAAAAAATGTTGCTAGCTTTACCGAGAGTTTGCTAAAGCTTTATTCGACGACAGACGAGAGGCTTTGAAGGCTGCAGTCTCTGAGAAGGATGCGCATCTGGCCTTGCTGGAACATTCCGGGATTAAAACTGCGGCTCAGTTCGAGCAAGCTGAACAGCTGAAGGCAGACAGAAAGAGGCTCCTGGACAAGCTGAAGAAAGAGGTAATTCACCTACTAGAAAACGAAGAAACGTGTTTACTTGTGTCAAAATGTGAAATAAAAAAATCGCAGGATGAGAAGAGTATCGAGTTATCGATAGAGTCAGATTCGACGGACTCGGCGGGGACGCCACATCTACTAACGAAAGTTTTGGAGACATCGGACGACGAGGAAGAAGCTCCCGTGTATCATCACAGTGATTCGAGTTCCCCGCGGCCAGCTACGACGAATGGCGACAGCTGTTCTCACTCGTAAGTTAAACGATCTCGCAGGTATACCATTCGAACTTTCAAACACCCATTTCGATAATAAATTTAAGTTGATCGACGAAACAGAGGCTGTTGTTTTTTTCCAGCAAAAAGAAGACATCGAAAGGATCGGAATCGCGAAGCAACCGAGACCAGTCGAAGCCCCATCGACGGGATAGCAGATAAGTACTCGAGGCCGCCTACGGTTATTACGGTGTAGAAAACAAAACAAACAAACAAACCAAATCGGTCTCTCTTCGTTTCTTCGATGTTGTCATCTGCACACACACACGCAACCGTAGAGGCAGTCTAGAGCCATTCTAGAGTCTTAGAGAGAAACCAACAGTCAACAGAGATACCTCATCGACCCAACAGCGACAGTACCGACAGACAGCACCCCATGATTCATTCGTACCCAAAATCAGCATACATCATCGCGAATCACCATCAACCATTACCACCATCTTCATCATCCATCACTTCGATCACTTTGATCACCGTCATCCAAGCACGTCGTCCTCGCAATATCCCACGGAACCAACCGAGGAGGATCATTTCGCGAGGTATCGGTGGCCTGGTTTAAACCAATCGTAAACGAGGCTGTCCGTTTCACGTGGATCGTTCCAAGGACGCGCCAGTATCAGCGGGATCTTCTCAAGGGACGACGAAAAATGCTCCCTCGGGTCTTTAGAGCAGACAGGATAACAACATATCGTTTAGATAACCGAAACGTGGCGCGAAGGATAAAAAACAATTATGTATCGCGCGAAACTCGACGATCTACGGGAGTACGTAGCTGCCCAATGACTAGACCAATTGAAACAGAGCGTCCATGGAGGAGGTACAATTGTTACGATAGAAAATAGATAGTTTTTTCGGTAGACCAGTTGGTTGCATGCCTCGGAGTCCTCTGGGGATGCTCCGTTTCCAGGAAGAACGCGTCGAATCGTTTAGAATTAATTATCGTCAACGCGTCGAGTTTCGTTCCAGCGTGCATTTCTTTCTCTACTATCCGCTCCAGATTGTTACGAAAAAAGGATCGATGATCGTGAACGCGACGTAAGGGTGGCAGTTTGTTCTTCGTCCAGGTTATCAGATGTTAGGAAGATAAAAGAGGAGAGGAATCGTTCTCTCACGAAGCACTGAATTAAATTTAACATTCTTGGAACAAACAGTGGTCACGATCGAACTACACTATCGCAAATTTCGATCAAGTTTCTTCCAAAGAAATCTCGTCGAGGAAACAATGAACGATTCCTTTCTTCCGCGAAATCACCTGCCATCGACTTGTGCAAGGTCGTAACCACATCGCTGCTATTTCTCCATCGTCCACGATTCGAGTGGCTCGATCAAACGCGAAAGGAGACGATGCACGTACGGTTTCTCCCCCAAAAAATCCCTTTCCTTTATTTTGGATTTCTTGTCACGGGTCCAAAGTTCGTCGTTGTAATAACGAGCGTTAGAGCTCTAGAAAGCGACGAAAGAAGATGTAGGATCGTTGTAGAAGATAATCGGTAGCGCGAGGGATACGACTGCGAACTACCCTCGGAATGGCAGCCACGAATGGTTCCAGTGGTTTCGAGAATCGAGAGATGAAGACGAACCGAGAGGAAGCTCGAGTCGTGGTGTCGATTAGCTTTCAAGATGACAATAAACGAACGTTTCGTGCAGCTGGCATTCGATGTGCCCGGGATGCTGCGGAGGGACGCACGAAGAGAACGCCAAGCGAGCTTTTTTCGTCCTATTAAAAGTGTTTGTGTGTCGTGAATTTTAATCGTGAACTGTTAACTGATTTCATAGGATTATTCCGTTGAAGCATATTCGTGAAAGAATTATAAGAGCAGGTACGTGAGTCACGGAAGTGTTCGTATTCCTTCAACTGCATCAGATTCTCATCAAGTTCGATTTTGTATTAAAAATTAAAAAATAAAGGAAGTAGAGAAGAATATATTCACAGTTAAAGATACACTTTACTGCGTTTGGAAGTGGAATTGATATCAATTGATCCGAAAGAAAAAGTCTGAAGTCCGAAGTTGAGGAAGGACAAATATGCACCTTCGTGACTCACTGGACGTAGACTAAAAATGACGACCAGAGTCAAAGAACCTTCGATCCATTCGAACGATTACTGGACGCGTAATCTGTATATAAACGCAAGTAATCACGTGTACACAGTTGTAGAATAATATTGTAGATACGATCGCTATCGGTATTTACTCGTGCTACGATTATTCACGAAGCGCATAGAGACTGTTAATCCCTCTGAACGACTTTCTATATAGTTTCTCAGCCTGGATCACTTGGTACGTGTCTATTTTACGTTGACAGCCATGTAAATGTTTATAGAGATTGTTACGGAGGTTTCGTTCGTCTACTGACACGATCGATCGATATTTATTGAAACTGTTGCGAAATCTTTATCCGTGTAAATAGTCACACACGTATATATAGATGTGAATTCTATTGGGTTGTTTGCTAAAGAGACAAATTTTTCTTTCGACTCTTGCGTACGATACTTTAGGATTTTTCTAAGAGGATAGAGGACTTGCGAGTGCAAAGTAGGTTATAGTTCCCGGCGAATAGTTAAACATTATAGATCGTTTCAGAGTTTGCAATATGATAGATTCTAATAGGCTAGGTAACGAGCTCAATTGATCGGAGCAGTCAATAAAAAATTTAAGTTCCTTTACGAAATGAAAGAGATATTCACGCAATAGAGGATTAATATTTATCAATTATCGAGTCAATAACTGTCAGAGTCAAGGAAAGCACAGACATACGTACGAAATCCCCCGAGCGTTTTCTTCGTGCGTCTTCGAGAACGCATTCAAGACAGCGGCCATTGTCTTAGACGAAGAGAAAGGACAATTGGCGGGGAGCCTGTTTTCCAACGAAGATGGACACGCGAAAAGACATTGGCGTGCCGGTGCTGACCAGTTTCCGGATCCAAGGAGAATCTAATAACCTTCCTTCGATCGTTAAACGGTCGATTGAGATTCCCAGTTGCCATCGAGTATACACTCTCGACCAGAAATGGGCAAAATTCTTATCTCGAAGAATGTAAGATAAATAAGCATCCATCTGTCTCAATCTCAAGCATTTGTCGAATAAAAATTAGAATTCGATTTACATACAGTGGCTGTAGATAATATTTCTGCACCGATCAATTTCCAAAAAAATTATATGAAATCGCAATTTATTAACTTCTTTTTTATAAATAATGATATTCTTCATATTCTTGGAAATCTCTATAATAGATACAGTCCAACAAAAATTAGTTATTTATATAAGTTGCGAAATTAACAAGAAAACAATAGTAAATCGATCGAAATATAGAAGTAATAAATATTCAAACAATTGTTAAATTTTTAAAACTTCATAATGAAACGAAATTTATATTAATTTATAAATAATTAATACTTCGTTGAATTACCTTTTGATTTTACAATTGCTGCAACTCTTTCAGGTATTAAATTAACTAAGTGTCAATGTTATTCGTGTTGGGATCTTCTTCCATTCCTCCATTTTTTGAGACTTCTTTACTGGAAATTTGATGTTTTCGAATTCGTACGAGGCAGTAAACTATTGCGTTTATGTTACAAACTCTACTGTAAATGGTTCGTCATAAGAACCGTACGGATACTTATTGCTTCCATATTTCTGATGATTCTTCGTATTTTTTTCTTAACTTCGCAAGTTATATAATCTAGTAATTGTTGGTTGGACTATATCTATTCTAGAGATTTCCGAGAATACGTAGATTATCATTGTTCATAGAAAAGAAGGTAATAAACTACAATTTCACGCAAAAGTTTTTTGGGAAACTGATCGTTGTACGAATACATTCTACACTCAACGTAGAAACGAACTGTATCGCAAAATAAACGAATAAAGATTTCTCCGGTTGAATTTTACTCGTGATTCGACTAAAATTTTGCCCATCCGTGGTCTCGGACTCGAGAGAATGGTTGCCATTGGGACAGCGGGGATCGGGGTCGTTGAACGCGAGGCGCTGAAGAATAGCGTAGAAAGAAACGAGTCGTTTTTGTAAATAGGTCGTACTTCGACGTTTCTTCGATAGCCCTGCTAGTCGTAGTCTAACACCTGTGTCCGCTCTGGTTCTGTACCCATTCCCCCGTCTAACGACTAGTCTAGAGTAAACCTGTACTACGCGTATACATAGATATATCCTAAACGAATTCTCTCGAGCAGATAAAACTTCAGACTAACCTTACGAACTGATAGCGCCCAGTGCATGATTCCCGTACACTGGCCTGGAGGCAGAGATGGGCAAAATTCTATCCTCAATATTTACGCCACCTGTACGCGTTTCATTTCAGCAAATAAGCAAGCTTTAATTCATGTCGCAGGCAATCACTCTTCACTAACGAGAACACTATTTAAACTGAGGCACTACCATCGATGTTACATCACCTGATCGTTGTCTGTCGATTTAACAATTTTTTCTACCGCCTACGTATTGCTGAACTTTCGTCGATTAAAGAATCGCCATCCTTCTATGCGTTAAAACGTAAAGTTTTGCCCGTCTCTGACCGGGATCGATACGGTTCCGATCGCGGGAGGATCGACTCTATCGCCCGCAGGGAATTGAGAACGAACGGCGCGCTCCTCGCCCGCCTCTCGCTCACTGTATACATATTATATATACATATATATGCATATATATACATAAAAACAAAAAAAAATTGAAACTATACATATATTGTCGTGTCTGCCGTACGGAGAGTTAAGTGACATGTTGAAAGTGTAAAATTTTATCGTTAATACTTAAAAGAAAGAAAAAAAAGATGCTCTCTTTAATTCGTCGATAACACGCTCTTTCTCGTTGCTGGTACACGACAACTTTTCCCTAAAAAAATTCGATCTCTGACGCCCATGGCGCCGAACCCCCCTCTCCCCCTCCCCAACTTCGAAGACTTATCAATTGCGAACTCTACTACTTAGATGGCAGATTTAGCCGGAATCGAACGGGGGCAATCCAATCGCGCGCAAGGTGGACGATCGTCGAGGACGACGCGAATCACTCGCTCGATCGTCCACCTTGTGTGATCGACAGAACGACTGCGTTCAGTCGGAGCCACTTTCCTCTGTCATCTCTCGTCTCGACTTCAGACACTGGTCCGTAGAATAAGCGTAACATGTACAGCGAAACGGTTGTTCGAAGGGTTAAGAGCGACACCGGGTCAATTTTAAGATGTTCCAACGCGAAGATTCGAGAAATCGATACTGACGCGATAACGAAGCAACAGTGTTGGACAAAGGATAATTTATGGTTGATGGTTACTGAATAATCCGAGTAATTAAGGTTAATAATTGGCGCGTTGAATGGCAACAGTCATTTGTCTTCTGGACGAGCAAATAATTAATAATAGGCTATCGAAAGAATAAATATCGGTATTTAACAAAGAACTGAATATGTATTGGTAAAAGAATAAAATATGTAGCGAGTTATCCAGTTTTGTCCGAACGATCTGTGCCAGTCAACGTGTCGATAAATAATCGAAAGTAGTTGCAGATTTCAATTATAACGTGCGATTATTTATTAATCCTACAAATTTTGAATAATTATTACAAGGTCACTGTTCGAGCTCTGTGAAATGATTATCGTGAAATCTCGCAGTAACGTTTCCTGGCCGAGCATCGAAGTCTCCCTCTGTTCGTTTCTTGCGCGGGCGTTGAAGTCACCGACCTCCGTCGCGTTCGGAGCGCTCGTGGAGCAATGTTCTCGAGTTGTTCCGATGATAAATGACAGAGGAATATCTCGATGTCTCGTTAAGGGTCGATCAGACGAAATAGAATACGATTTTGCGGTTAGGAGGTGCTAGTATAAGTCGAGAACGAAGACTCTCCGTGTTCAGCCTCCAATACCGTAGACAGAGATGATTTTTTAAAGAGAAATGAATCCAGACAATCGAACGACGAGACCAGAGTGACGATAATCAACTGTAATAAATTCCTACGCAAGTTTGGCCCACTTTTGACCCCTCACTTTTTAGTTCCGTAGCTGTGAAACGTTCGTTTTGACGTCAGCTGGTCGACGAAGCAAATATTTCGAGGTGGAGCTTGACACGATAATTACGGAGAGTTTTCGTTCGCGCGATGGTTGAAAGTTGTGAAATATTGCGATAACAACGAGATTTGTTTTGACAATGGCTGAGTCGGGAAAGAGATGAAGAGAGAGTGGATAGGAGGAATTAGAGAGGATGTAGCCGGATAAAATGAAAATGAAACGGTTAGTAAACGTGTGCCACCGTCATATCAAGCCTATATCATCGTGTTACATTATATATATATATATTATACATATATATAGCTAAGCAGAAAAAATTAATATTACCGTTAATCGACACAATTGTTAACGAGGTGTGACTGTGTTACGTGTGCGTGTCTGTTGGTGAATATAAAAAATAAAAAAAGAGTCTTTCTTTCGATCGCTCGAGGATTGAAATGGCCTGAGAGCAAATTTTCGAATCTTACGAATCTTTTACCGGCACTCTTTATTGTCCGATCTCTTAAGTACTCCACTTCAATCAGTAATAAAACAATCACTCCGACACTTATCATTGTCCCGTCTTCATTAGATGAAAAGAATTAAATAAAAAAAGATAAATAAAGGTTGTAACCGTAGGGTGTAATCGCTTTAAATGATTGATTAACTTTATCTTCAATTTTAAGACTGTTTAACGAATAAATTATCAAAGCGAAATGTGTGACGATAAATGCTTCGATGTTGCGTCGTTCTATTTAAAAATAGTCTCTCCTTCAAGGTTATATCGAATATATGAGAAAAGACAAAGGAAATACGACGGGGAAATCGAGTGACGAGCACGAAGGGCAGACACTTTAGCGTCAGATAATTTTATTAAATGACGCGGAGATGTTATGCGTCACTGGGTGACGCTAAAAGAATTTCCTGATATCGATCACGCCAAGTGGTCCTTCAAGGGCGACGACGAAGAGGAAAACCGAATGTTCTTCTCAGTCTTCGAACTTGATACGTGCGAAACGCGAAAGAAACGATATCAACTCTTTATTTAGCGAACAAGAGAAACAAAAATAAAAATCACTAAAAAAAACGAACAAAAAATTGTAAGGAGCTTCGAATAATTTCTGACGTTACAGAGAAGCTCGGGTGTTCCCGTTTTCTCCATGAGTCGAATAAAGCGTTGATCGACTGCCCTCCAATTACTAAACAGAACAAATGAACGCAGATAGGATATCCGCACTCGAGTGATCCTAAGTTGTGACTGTTCGTGGAACACGAGTGAAAATGCGAAAGCGTGGAAAGCGAGTAGTCGTGAGAGCGCGTGAACGAGGCCGTCTCGATATTATTTTTCGACTCGACTGTTTAGTATCTACGACGAAAAAAACGTTTTTATGTGAAATATTGCGTAAGGAAAGCCGTAGCGGCGTCGCGACGATCCACGTTGGAACCGCGGCCGCTCGAGTGAATAAATTCGTACCAAAGATAGGGAGTAATCGCAATTGTCCAACGATATCACGCTGAACGCGACCAAAACGAACACACCTGAGTTAATCAGGCCGCGAGTCCTCCTGGACTTGACGCCGCCACGGCATGGGTCCTCCCGCCCCCTTTTTTTATTCTCCAATTTCTACGTGTTTAATCGTTAAGTGAAACAGAGGATTTAAGCGAAAACGAGAGCACGAGAGCGTGAGACAGACAGAAAGCTAGAAGGAAGAGGTACGACGACGTACAGTGACACATTATACCTCGGGGTGGATCGAGATTAATATTTGAAAAGCTCCTTAAAAAAGGAATAGACTGCTCTTTTAAATTCAATCTCATTTAAAGAGGGAACTAAACAAATTGTATAACACTAGAGAAATATCTAGAGGTTTGCTTCTGTTTAAATAAAACAAATTCAAATGATTCAAAAGTAATACAGATATCCAAATATATTCCAAGTATTTGTGCTACTCAAAAAAATTGATTTAATTTTTTCCAGATTAAATAGGTTCCAATGAATTGACAACTAATACTGAGTTTTTGAAACATCGATTTTGAGAAGCCTAGGTGTCTTTTTAGTCTAAAGGATAATGCGCCACTAACGACGTATCGAAAATATCGAATAGGATCGAGTATCGCTGATCTGCGCGCCGTGTTCGTTAATTACGGCCGCGACACGACTATCGATCGCGTGTACATACCTAAAGGGAACGATAATAATGCGTGTGCGTGTGTGGCGGTGAAAAATTAAGCGAGAAACTGCGAGAAAAAGACACAGGATCCGAACGAAGCGAGCAAAGGCTATTTAGTCTTCGGGACGCTCGACGAATCGAGCGAACGACGATCGGCGTGATCGAGGGATCCCTCCAGGAACCAGAGACGAACGAAATTTTAATCTAGATACGAATTTCGAATAACGAACGAAGGATGAACTACTCTCTATCATCGAATAAAAGTTTGAATTATAAAATAAAATATTTCACAGGAGAATAAAAATTGAACCGTTCAAATCTATTAAACGTACACTGTGTCTATTATTCGAATGAAATTTCGCCCAACTCTGGTAGGAATCCTCGATCACGCGATTTGTCGACGAAGCGGACAGGAGAAGCGACGAGGCTAGAAATAAGTTTAACGAGTAAGCTAAGATAAGCTATAAAGAAAAAAAAAAAGTAAACAGTTTATTGAAGTACATTGTTGCAACTGCCATGCTGTGTGCCATTATATAACGAGTCACGTTTGTCGTAAAAAGCAAAAAGAAAAAAAAAAGTAATAATATGTGAAATGAAAATCTCTTGTGCGCGTTCCCGTCTGTCTGAAACTTCTTGGTCAACGACGCCACGAGAAGCGTCGAGGCGAACTTCGCTCTGCGAGCTGGATAAAGTTTTCACGCTTTCTAGGAACAATAGCAATGAGATCGCGACGAATAAACCAAGTCGAGATGTAAACACCATCAGTCGTGGAAAAACCATAAGCCCTTTGATTGTGCTTTAATAATTCATTCCAGCTCCCGCAACAGTCCAGCTTGCAACTGCAGCATCCAAGAAACTAAATAAACAGAAATTCTTCTATTATTCAATCGAAATTTAAGTGATTCGACAAAGAATGTTTGGAAACCATACTCCAGAGGAACAGTCCCAAAAAGCTGGTCTCGTACACCTGCTCGCGCGAACCAACATGTACATTATAGCGGAGATCGAGGTACCATATATAAATATAACGATTAATGTATACATATACATATGTGTTAACGCTGCTGAGCACGTGTACGTCATTCTCCATCGAGTTCCTCGCGGCTCGCAGATGAAGACGCCTCCATGAAAACGCATATTTTTGCGAGGATTCGTTCCTGCTGTTGGGAAACCGTGAAAAGACATTTTTTTATTGTATAATTAATCTCATGCACATTTTCGTCGAGGATGCGTCGCATTTTTATCGAGCCAACCGTTGCAGCAATCCGACACAGCGATCGAGATTCTTCCATCGAAGTCGACGCCTCCTGAATTCGAGGGAAAACGCGGGACATCGACGGGGAACTTCGATCGCTTGAATTTTCGTGAAAATAGTCGCGCCGTACACTTTCGTCTAATTCTTGTATCGTTTTAAGGAAACGGTTTCTTCTTGACCCGCAACTACGCGCGATATGGCAAGTTTTTCAAGGTTTTGATATCTTCGTAAGCAGTTCGTTAACCGATTAGCGCGGATTCTTTGATAACGCTACGAAAAATATTGTATATATATAATTTTCTTTCTTTGTCCTGCCGGCGGCGAGGCGCGTAGTTGCGGGTAGAAAAACGATCGTACCCGCTGTGTAAAATAATATCGTATTATCTCGCTTTATGTACACGAATCACATGATAATCGCTCGTAACGATGATGAAGTTTCTGTTTTCTTTCTCTTTTTTTTTTTGGCGACAAAGCAACCCACACACCGCGAGACAAATGTGTTCATCGATCCTGTCGCAGACATCGGTAACGCGATCGCGTTCGAAAACACACGGAAAAACAGCCGTTACTTTAGCAGAGACCCGCGCAAGAACGAATTCCTGCTGTTCGCGAGACATCCATGTTTCTCACGTGTCGCGACGTCTTAAAAAAAAAAAGAAAAGAAAAACAGAAAAAAAATAATGCCGAGTTATAATCCAATTGTTAGCTGACAGCCGACGGTGTGAGGAAAGAGAAAAAAAATATGAGTAATTAAGAGTAAAAAAGAAAAAAAAATAAAACCAAAGATGACGTCGATCCATCATAGATTCAAGCACAATAAGGAACTATAGTAGGGCCAGGCACAATAAAATTCGGCCGTCACGTTGTAGGCAGCGATCTGTTAGAGCGACAAGTCATATAAGTATCTATATAGCGAGACTATTAAATAAACACATATTGTCTATTGTCACGAGAAGTGTATTTATTGTTAAACGCTGACCCCTTCTCCAAGACTCTGATTATAGATCTGGCATTAAGTTGAATAAACACACATAACGAAACCACCAAAGTCTACCTCGTTCCTTTAGCCTAATCCAAGTAAACCCCTTGTCATCGTCGAATAGAAAAAAGGAACTGAAGGCTGCCGATTCAGTTCCGATTTAAACATCAATAGTTTACACTCTGAAGCTTGCCTCTTGAAATATGAATTTTCCTTCGTCTGGAAGAATATCGTTTACGTACTGCAATCGTATTGAATAAAATATAAAAAACGTGTTAAACAGAGGCAGATTTTTTTCTGAAAGTAGAGTATGAGCAAGCCTGTCCGCAGTTCCATTAGAAATGTGCGAAGAGACCTACGGAAGTTTATGCACAGTGGAGGTAAGTTGAAACGTTTTTTCTAGTAACCTATACTCGTCTCCTGTAACTGAATTTTACATTCACGGCCATTGAATTAAACAAGATGCGTCGAAATATATTCAATTCAACGAACAAGACAACAGGTTGGACCACCAAACACGCGTCTTACAGAATAAATTAGAACAGCACACGAGAATATTTGCTTCCATGTGTCCAGATGAGATTCTAGACCATTACGATGATTACCAGACTAGAATGTATCACACTACTTTGATGCTTGGGGATGTGTCAGGTATAATTAGCGAACGAACAACTTCTCTGCGATTTGACCTTCCCTTTGATAAAAAGAAGTCGAACAGGGTTCACGGATCTCGCTGAGAAGTACACTAAAACGGGCAGAGGTGGCCCATCCAAGTTGACCGACACTTTAAACAGTTACATCGGCGCAATGGTCCAAGAGATCCTGTCCCATAATGGCGACGTGCTGAAATTTTCTGGGGACGCGTTCATAGTAATGTGGAAGCTGAACGAGGGCATGGTGATGCGCGATCTGGCGATAGAAGCGATGCAAACCGCTTGCATCATTCAAAAACACTTCGGAACTTATGACACCGAGGTTGGGGTAACCCTCAAAGGTGTGTACCATGTGATTATTCTATTTAAATAATTATGGATGACTTCAGTCGTTTGCATGGTCTGTCTAAAAAGAAATCGAACTTTTGCTATTAAAAGAAAAAAGTACAAGTAAGGTTTTTACAAACACGTTTATTTACTCAAAATAATCTCCCTTTGCGTCAATACAGCGTGTAGTCCGCTTAATTAACATTTAGAAGGACCTTTGCAGCTCCTGTTTTGGTAGCCCGTTTAGTACGGCGGTTACAGCGGCCTGAATCTCCGAAATGTTACTATAATGTGTCCCTTTCATTGGATTTTCAATTTTGGGAAAACATAATAATCGCAAGGAGACAGATCAGGCGAATAGGGTGAATGATCCAAAGTAACAATACCAATTCCAATGAAAGGAACACATTGTAGCAATATTTCGGAGATTCAGGCCATTATAACCGCCGTACTAAACGGGCTACCAAAACAAGAGCTGCAAAGGTCCTTCGAAATGTTAATTAGGCGGTCTACACGCTGTATTGACGCAGAGGGAGATTATTTTGAGTAAATAAACGTGTGTGTAAAAATTTTACTTGTCCTTTTTTGTTTTTATAGCAAAAGTTCGATTTCTTTTTAGACAGTCCGTGTATATTTACGATATTAACCCTTTGCACTCGAGAGGCGCAGTAAATCGGTCAACAATAATATTTGTTTAGGTTTAATTTCTTTGGAACTCGAAGTGTCGATAAAATGGTTGGCGACAAGGTAAAGGTGACCTGATTAAGCTTAGCATTCGTGGCAATAGGATACTAAGAAAGCATCTCGAGTTGCTAGTAGATACCAGAAAGAAAGGCCTCGAGTGCGAAGGATTAAACTGCGAGTAACGAACTAAGGATATACTAGCCTTTAAACCAGTTTTCTCCAACCATTTTTGTGCTATGATCCACCTAAACTTTTCTAAAATGTTTATGTTCTCTCCTCAATATATACATAACTTTAAATATTTAAAAATGGAAATGCTCACTAGAGAAACTTAAATGATAGATTTTAGAAAGGAATCACTAGGAAATTATTGGGGAAAAAACAATAAGTAAATTTTCAAATTACCCCACGTTGGGGAACACTGTTTTAAACCATTCCTTATTCGATGAAAATTGAAACAGTTGCATATTACTTCAAGTTCTTCGTTTGGTATACGTTTTTTACCACCTGTAACGAACACTTTGATCCAGTAAAGTTAGCGATAGCCTCTGGAAGAACGTACTTCACGTCTATCGGAGACCCAGATTCCAGATCTCATTATATCATTACTGGGAAACCTGTGTGGGATGTGAAATTCGCTGAGGGCCTCTGTAGGTGATTGCAATAGCATTTCGTTAATCTAATATTGAATATTATCTTAATATTGCTCGAGAAAGTGCAGAATATAACATGAAAAAATATAGCTATTAACTGTATACGCTTGATCAGGGGTGGTGACATTCTGGTAGCTCCCAGCAGTTGGCAATGGGTGAATCCAAATGAGTACGTGCACGAAACACTTCCGGATGGTATACACACCCTTATTGTTGGCTGCACAAGCTCGTGGTATCAGTCTAGGGAAGATATCGTAGCAACCAGCTCGGATGGTATTTATAGACAATCAAACATATACAGTCAGTCGTATAAATATTCGTACCCTCTGTGTCAATTGAAGAAATTTGTTTAAATTAAATGGTTGGTTCGATGTTTCCAAGTGTATGTTTATATAAATACGTTGATTTACACAGAGTGTCCTAGAATTAGTGTAAGAAGCAGAAATGGAGGGGTAGCTGAGACGATTTCAAACCAATATTTCCTTTGGAAAAATATCGGATGGTGCTTAGTTTTTCGTTAATAGTTCAAAAACGAAGCGCCATTCGAGATTTTTGTAGAGGAAATTGTGATTCCTTTTACATTAATTCTGAAACACCCTGTATGTAAATGTATAAGTTTATTTATATACATATTTATAATGAAAACTTCATTTAGTCATATCAAAACTCTTATTTAATTTAGTCAAACTTCTTCGATATACATAGAGAGTACGAATATTATTTGGGTTGGGTTGACTGTATAAAGGAGATAAACTAACAAAAGCATCACGAAATAATTTCAACTCGATCCGGTTTCCATAGAGGAAACAGACGAACATATGCCCAAGCATGCTTACGATTCAATGTACGTTTCGAAGGCAATCGCGGATTCAGAGACCGAAGCAGTGATGATGAGCCTAGCTGGCGACACCTTCGAAGCAGAACAAATCAAACAAATCGATTACAGCTGTAAGTGGCCAATTGCGTGTGGCTAATTGCAGACGAGGTAATCTACGGTATTTTCCAGTACGACCTAAAATCGTAAAAATAGCGAAAGCTCGTCTGAAAGACGCTCTGAGGAGCTACATGCTGAGGCCAGTGATACGATCCGTGGAAATGGGCGAACCCTTGGAGTATCTGACTGAAATGAGGCAAGTGGTGATCCTCTTTATCAACGTTATCACCACATCCGTGGACAAGAAGACGTTGATTTCCTTGGTCGACACTGCTTACAAACTAGTTTGCAAGTAAGCTTACATTCCTCTTTATAATCTACGCATTTAGAGACTTTCTTAAAATAATAATTCCCTAAAAATTAAAATATTTCGTCCCCAAAAATAATTCCTCGAAATAGATTTAAAGTCAGGTTTGTTTTCCGATCTTCGTTGGTGTCTAATGCCGCGTATGTTTTCTTATTTATGGATAAAGGATCGTTGGCGAAATGCACGGATGCGTGAACAAGACGTCCCTCTTCGACAAGGATCTAATGTTTCTCTGTGTTTTCGGTTTACGAGGCGACAAGCACGAACTAGAGTCTCAGATTGGGCTGAGATGCGCGGCGAAACTGCGAATGGGGCTCCTGAAGTTGGAAAACGTTAAATCGGTCACTGTCGGGGTGACCACGGGCATGACGTACTGTGGGGTTGTGGGACATATCTTGCGAAGGGAGTACACCGTGATCGGAATATCTGTGAACAAGGCTGCGAGACTTATGGTCGCGTATCGCGACAGGGTGAGGATCAGGAGTTTTAGTAAAACTTTACGTCACAGTTCTATGTAAAAATTATATACAGTGGATGTAGAATGTATTCGTACACCGATCAATTTCCCAAAAAACTTTTGTGTGAAAATTATAGTTTATTAACTTCTGTTTTTATAATCAATGATATTTTACATATTCTCGGAAATCTCTAAGATGGATATAGTCCAAACAACATATACTAGTTAATATAATTTGTGAAATTAACAAAAAAATGCGAAAAGTGGGTAAAAGTATAGAAGCAATAAGTATTTGTACGATTTTTATGACGAACCATTTACAGTAGAGTTTGTAACGTAAACACGTTAGTTTATTGCTCCGTACCAATTCGAAAACATCAAATTTCCGGTAAAGAACTTTTAAAAAAGGTTCTAATAGAGGAATGAAAAAAGATCCCACTTCGAATAATTAATAATTTACTTAATTTAAAGCTTAGAAGAGTTGCAATAATTATAAAATCAAAAGAAAATCCCATGATGGAAGTATTATATACTTGTAAATTAATGTAAATTTCTTTTCTTTTAATGAGGTTTTAAACATTAAACAGTTGTGCGAATACTTGTTGCTTTAACATTTCTATCGATTAATTGTTTTTTTCTTGTTAATTTCGCAACTTACGTAAATAGCTATTTTTTTTTATAATCTATCTATTCTAAAGATTTCTGAGAATATATAGAATGTCATTGTTTATAAAAAATAAGTTAATAAATTACAATTTCATACAGTTGTTTCGGAAATTGATCGGTGTACAAATACTTTCTACACCCACTGTATATATATTTTTAAAAATTCAAAGTGACATTAACAATTTTTCAAATTTTTTTTTATTGTAATGTATACAATATAGTCCAGGTATGGTATAATCAAAAATTGATCAACTTTTGTTTAAAATATTTTCTTATCAGATTATCGTAAGTACTTGAAAATTCGCAACGTTAATTATTTCCTTATTAAAATTCAAATGGGTATCCAGAGTTTTTTTTTGGTAAGTTAAATATATGGTTTTAACGAAAAACTATTTCGAGACACCGAAACCTCAAAAATTCAAGTGTTCGTATAATTTTGACACGGGAGTGGAGCTTTCAACGTGTTACGGTATAAGGATAAAATTTGTAGGTCGTTTGTGATCGAGAGAGTTTTCTCCATTCTCGTCTCGAAGCCAGACACTTCATCCTGCAGGAACCCAGGTACTTAAAAGGAATCTCGAACGTTGGACCCATATACGAATTTCAAGAAACACCGAAGCAAGTTTCCATCTCATTTAATTTAAAACGTGGAAGAGTTAATTTCATCTAAATAGATGTTTCTGTTTGTTAGATATAGCGTGTCCGATTTGGTATGGAACAAGGACCCGTTGCTTGGTCGAGAAGCCGAAGTGAAGCAATTCAAGCAAATGCTGGCAATATTATCGGATTATTCCACTCAGGATAAATCCACTCGTGGTCCAAGGCCAACGTATAATACGCTAATCATAAAGTATCTGCTTCTACTTCATTGTAATGAAATCTATATCGAAGAATCTACATTTATGTAATTGTCATACTTATTCAGAGGTGAGCCAAGGATAGGAAAGACCAGGTTGTTGGACGAATTCACGCAGAACGTTCCAGTTGGAGTTCATTATAACTACATTCCACTGAACGTCGATGACGCCAAGGTTGATACCTCATACTACATATAAAAATATATCAATGTCAGAATCTCAGAGTCTCAGAGTCTTAGTGCCTCAGAGTCTCAGAGTCTCAGAGTGTCAGAGACCCAGAGTCTCAAAGTCCCAGAGTCTCAGTGTGTCAGATTCTCAAAGTCTCATAGTCTTAAAGTCTCAAAGTCTCAGAGTCTCAGAATCTCAGAGTCAAATAGAATTATCAGTTTCTGGAACTATATACCACTCATTGAAGTCCCTCACGCAACTTTTCGATTCCTCTATACCTGCGATCTAATTATACCGTGAATAATTTTATATTCAAAATTGAAAACGATTGTGTATCCCGCAGTGCAGGCCCCGTACAACCTGATTCACCTAATATTCTCGATGCCCCTCGGTTTCTCCGTCGCCTCGACACCCAAAGAACGCGAGGACAAGCTGCTACTTCGCCTTGGCACGGTGCGTCAGTCGCACCTCCTGTGCGCCCTTAATCAGCCCTTCAATGTGCACTTCGCCATCACTCATCGTTACAACACTTTAACCGAAATGGAGAAGTGGAAGGTGTTGCGTAAATTCCTGTTGAAACTGGTGAAGAGCTGCTTCGAAGCGCTGTGGGTGATCATGATCGACGACGCAGAGTGCAGCGACCACGAGTCCCTGCAGCTTTTCGACGTTCTGACCAAGACGGACACGGTATTCTATATCGTCTGCATTGGTCAAAAGCTTAACACCGACACTCAGGTGTATTCTAACCTTTTGATCAGGGGAAAGGTGACTAATTATCCTGTCTCGTTAATTAACACATTCGCGATCGCTGACGTGAATTCACGTCGCTTAAAATTCTATTCCTGGTTATTTGAAAAAATTATGAAAATCTTTTTACTTTATACAATACATACTTACAACATTGATATTTAAAAACATATTTGGTAATTTTTATCTTCGCCCTAACGATACAAATTTAGCGATATCCAGCTTCAGAATCGTATTATTTTCGTCAGTACTCGGTATTAGAAACGTGAAATATCTGCCGGTCACGAATATGTGTAACCCGAATAAAGAATCTAGTAAAATTAAAATATAAAAAGGTGTAATCGAAATTTACCGTATAATATCATATACATTTACATCGAAAGGTCATCGAACTCGGTGGAATAGACAAGTGGTACCATGCTGGCCTTGCCTGTCAAATACTCAACGTGAATGGTGTGCCAGCAGAGCTCGAGAAGTAAGCAAACTCGAAGAAACTAAAAACAATAATAACTTTATCGAGTATATTTCTATATTACACTGAGGAATTTGATTTATTTCTTCAAGACTCATACAAGAAAAGAGCTTTGGCAATCCAGGCTGGATCGAGAGCTACTTAGTGAGCCTTCTGCAAGCTGGAGGCTTGGAAATAATAGTCATCAGCAAACAAAAAGCTAACAAACTGGGCTACGTGTTGCCTCCCATGTCCATGTTGAAAAGGTCAGTACATGTACTCAGTCCCATAAATATTCGTACCCTCTATGTCTATTGAAGAAATTTATTTAACCCTTTGCACTCGAGGCCTTTTTTTCTGGTATCTACCAGCAACTCGAGATGCTTCTTAGAATTCTATTGTCATGAATTCTAAGCTATCTAGATTTGAGAATAAGGTCACCTTTACCTCGCCGACAATCATTTTATTCACACTTCAAGCTCCAAAAAAATTAAACCCAAAGAAACATTAGGAATTGTAGATTTACTCCGTGAAACCTAATGGTAACTGAGAGTCACCTCTCGAGTGCAAAGGGTTCAATTAAATGGCAGGTCTGACGTTTCCATGTGTATATTTCTACAAATATGTTGATGCATACAGGGTATCTAGGTATAAGTCCAGACATATGCAGGGTGTCAATTCTACAACAAATTTCCAACAAAAAATTATTCTTAGACATTTTCTTTGTGTCGCCTTATTCTCGAGTATTTTCACTTTTAATTTATTTTCTGTGTTTTCGACTTGACACTCTTTAAACGGCCATAACTCCACTAAATTACAGTGCAAACTTAAAAATCAGTACACCATTCGAAAGAGCGTTAAATTTTCCATCTCCCTGATGCAAAATCAAAATTTATTACGTAGATATAATAAGTGAAAAATTAGGTCAAACTTTACATTGTGACAATTTTTTAAAATTTGACTTTTTCTCTATCCGTTTTTCGGTTTTAAATACATAGTTGTTTGGCGGGCACTCCTCGGCAAAAACTTCCTCGAAGTCTCAGCTTTTGAATGGTATTGTCAAAAAAAATTCTACGGTGGTATTTTAAGGAGAAAATGACGTTTGAATGGAGAAAAGCGGACATTTTTAGGTGAAAATCGACATTTTTCAACAAAAATCGACTTGTCACTTTAAAATTAGATTGACATCGGGTTTGATGTATTTTTTGGTGACACTACCAAGTCTCTCCAATTAGGAAAAAAACTGTTATTTTTTTTACACCTCAAGCCTCTCCCAGCCGCGTGTAGAGCCTGAGTGAGAGGTGAATAATAATTGTTTTTGAACATGTATCCATATAATTTTCATTTTTAGAGACTATTTAATCAAAATCTACCTCGGTGTACCGATAAATGATATGGAGATTGCAGATACATAACACGATCGATTTCACAAAGCAAAGAATCGATGTTTTCGGCACAGGAAATCGGATAAAAGAGTCTAAATTTGAAAGAAATAATTTATTGGAACAAAAGAAAGGAAACCGTAAGGTCCGCTAAATTCGTTTAAGAATAACACATTTTGACGATAAACAAAAATTTACCTACTTCATTTATTAAATTAAAAGTTAATGTAAAAAAAATTTAAAATAAATATAAATTTTTATTGATTTAAGTTTTCGAAATTCATTTGCTAATATCAAACCTACTATTTAATTTAGTCAGACTTCTTCGATAGAGGGTACAGATATTTATGGGGTTAACTATACGTAAATATTCGTAATCCCTGTGCGCGATATAACAATTTTATGCAATTACCTGTTAGATTTATGTCGAACGCGGCAAACCAGAACAGCGTTGGCCAAAATCGCTCGGACAGGTGGCAGATGTACAGAACAAGCTTCAAAGTTCGTTTCCTTTCGATCCTCTCGATTGACTTTAACTGCTACGCATATCTATCTTTTGCGTTAGGACAGCATGATCTCGTTGCTCGAGAACAACTCCAAGAACCCACACAAATCGACCGTGGTCGTCGACGGAGAACAGGAGATGATCGCCGTCTGCACCATCTCGGAGAACTTCACGTACGAGGACGTCGACACTGAATTCACAATGGATGGTAAAACGAAAACGAAATATTTGTTCAGAAGAAACATGTTTTCCTGTGCTATTCTTCTGCTCTTTCCAAAGATTAAACATTGCACTGGAGATCATTGATTAAGAGAGACTTTAACACTTTATTACGACAGTTATGATCTTGAAGCTCTTCGACTCCTTAACGCCTCTCGACCAGCTCCTTCTGAAATGCGCTTCCGTGATTGGGGAAACTGTTAACAGACACATGCTTGAAAGCCTGATGAACCTCTCTGCCAAAAGGGAAATTGGACTTGGTGAGGTTCTCTTTGAATATCATACGATGACAAAAATTGATCGACCTTGTTTCGTTAGCTATTACGAAGCTGTTCGAAATACGAGTGTTTGGGTGCGCAACTGGGGACTTTTCCAGAAATAGAGGACCAATAATATTCATCAGGAACATGAGGAACCCCGCGTCGGAGATGGAAGTGTTCTGCAGCTGCATCGGCATCACTATTCCAGGTATTGGAATTGAATCGAATCTGTTATTCTATTTAACAGGTTGATCGCCGCGTCACCCATACATGGGTGCTTTTTATTGAAGAAAAAAAATTATTACATGTACCGAAAAGTAATGTCATTTCTTTTACATTAAATTCAGACAAATACATTCATAATACATTTCTATTTTTAATCGATTGTGTAATTATCCTCGTTATCAACAACCTTTTGCCATTTAGTGTGCAAATATTCAATACTAAATGGTTAAAAATTAATGAGTTGATGAATGATAAAGGAGTACTGATATTTACAGAAACGACATTACTTTTCGGTTCACCTAATAATTCTGAAAGTTAAGTGTCAAAGATAATCAATTTGAATGAAATACTTGAATTCTGATGCAGCTATAAAAATAAATATCACCATAAATGGTTGATTATGCAGTTCCCGATACTCTGTAAACAACATTTAAACACAGTAGAAATTTTCAAGAGTAATAATCTGACAGTCAGCGCGTTATTATGTATTATTACATCATATTGAATTATCATATTGAATTTAATTAAATCTATTTTAGTTATTAGATGCATGAGTTGTATAATTATCATTAATTTTGTGTATCGAATACGTTTCTCTTAGATGAATTGGACGATCTGCCAAAGTACGCCTCCTGCGGTCTGATGAGGTTCAAAATGTCCATGTTCCGCGACACGACGTATCAGTTAGTAAATATAATTGTATTTTCATCATGTACTGCAAATCACTCCTTCAAAAAATGCTGATCATTTTGTACGTTTTGATTGTACGTCTAAGATTGCTCACGGAAAACCAGAAAATGGAGTTGCACAACCAAGCATTGAAGTACCTGCAGCAACACACGAGACGTTGCGTGTCCTGTGGACAGGGTGAGTTCGCGAAACTGCTGGGGAAAGTGTCGAAGAAAGAGAACAGAAGGAAGAGAACGACCAACATAGATCAGATGTTTGACAGCACGACTTTCAGTGACATTGATGTTATCGAGGAAGTCAAAGAAGGTATGCAAGACAAATTCAGTAAAGGATTCGTTGAGATTTGATTGGAAAATATAGAGACGTGTCGTGATAATATTCTGATGACTAAAACAGAAGGCAAAGCGTTCCTTTCGTGCTTCAATGGGTTTCTAACTGTCGAAAGGCAGCCAACTGTCACCTTCTCGGACGTGGATTTCAGCGACTGTCAGTGTAATTTGATCCTGATGACTGTCTACACTCAGATTCTTGGCCATTGCCATGGTATCGGTACGTTGAAGTAGGTGACATTCGCTATTTATTTGATATCCCGAGCTAAAGATGAGAAACATCGATTAGGGAAGACCGAAATGGCGATGATCGCCATTTTGGAGTTCGCAGAAATTTGCGTGATGGCGTGCAACATACCTCAAGCTCGACAGCTCTTGATGGAGGGCGAGAAGATCCTCGCGGAGGTATTAACGGTGAAATATATTCGGTGGACTGGGAAGTAATGTCGTTTCTGCCATCTTAACTCTTTGCGGCACAGGAATTCAGGTCATAAAATAGACCCATGTTGCACAGGAATTTTATTGCGTTTTAAATCAAACAAAATTGTTATATGTTTATTAATAAAGGTATCACATAATGTAACAAAATAAATATAATAACAAAATAATATAAAATAACATAATAATAATAATATAAAATTCTTCAGATTCATCCGAAAATGAAAGTACGTGTATTTTCTTTCTTCGTGGGACGAATAATTCAGAGTCATCAGAATCATCAGCTTCAGAATCAATGAGAGATTCTTAATCTGAAGTTATTTCTTCAAATCGCGTGTCATTTTCATTTTCATCACGCTGCAGTTTGAGGTTAGAAATTTTGGAACAAGTACTTGATGGATTTGTTCTTTGCATTTTGAAGCTGAAGGGTCAAAAATTACCTACACTATATTTAAATCACATTTATAGTTTGAAGAATATTAAAACATAAACAATAAATAAAAATATGTTCTTTTGTATTACTCCCCAAGTTGCATGGTGGGACGAATAAAATCCCACCATACTTTCATCATTTGCAAACAAATTTGATCTTTAGTTTTGATTATAGAACACTTCAATTGTTTATATAGAACTAATTTTTATATAAATTAACTTACCTCTACGATTCTTTCACATAAGACCAGGAAAGAAATATTATCGCAATAAACCTTCCGCTACAACATTTGTTGAACCGGTATTAACGTGTTGAAAGTTGCCAACATAAGTGCATACATTTGTAACATTGGATGAATATATTACCAATTGCTTTACGTAAATAAGACGAAATATAAACCTATACACATGCAGCTATTGCAAAATTTCGAGGTAGGATTAAAAATGTCCCACAATGCATTACGGTCCATCAAAAAGGTGGGACACACTTTTAATCCCACCGTGCCCCAAAGAGTTAAATACTTGTTTATCATTTATCAGCTCACTGATTCTTCTGGCATTGAAAATTTGCATACTAGGTGACAAAAGGCTGCTGACAATGAGGGCGATTATATAATGCATTAAAGATAGAAATTTATTGGAAACTTTGAATTTAATGTAAAAGAAACGACATTACTTTTCGGTCTACCTAATATTTAGAGAATAAATGAAATTAAAAGCACTGTTTCGAAAATGCATACTTTCCAGCTGTTCAAGTCGGAGGACGACGAACTGGTCCTCTTGCCTTATCTCACCGCCAAAATTCAAACCCTTCAAGGTCAATGTTTCCTCGAAAGCGGTTCCATTCTCGAGGCAGAGGAAAGCTTCGAAATGGCGTTGACCAATCTGGGATACAAGTTCCCAAAAATGGAGATGATGATCGATTTGAAATCGTTCATACAGCTGGTAGCGTTGAGATTGAAATTCAGTTGCCCCAGGAAGTGGCAGCTCGATACCGAGCACGATGAAGACAGTGTGGAGTACATTGAACAGTTGGCTGACTGTCTGGCTCGAATGTTCAATCTCTTCAGGGTAATCGACTATTTATAAAAAAGAAGAATGTTTATTTATTTTATTGCTTCTTATACAGTATACAATATAATTGTGATAATTACAATTTATTTATATCAAATTCTTATATTACAGTCTTTAAGAAATCTATAAATAATTTAATATTACATTCCAAGGAAATCTGCGAGTAACTGTTCATTTAGTCATCCTATGCTAAAAAAGTTGAATGTTTACTGTGCAGATAAATGGGATGAAGAAGCACGCACGATTGGCAGCGCTCTGGGGTTTGAACACGGTTATAAATTCCTCTAGAAACTTATTCCTCCTTTGCACTTCCTATACCAACATGTTGATCACTGCTCACATGTACCGAGACAGGTGAGATAAAAGATATTTTACAACTGCAAACGCTTCAATGGGATTCCCTCGGAGTATCAGAGTATTTATGTAAAGTGACAAACTATTTGGCAATTTTTATTGCACTTACATCTTCTTAACAATGTTTTACTTTCGACGAACGTACATCAACTACTGTCACTTAACCCTTTGCACTCGAGGCCTTCTCTTTTTGTATCTACTAGCAACTCGAGATGCTTCCTTAGCATTCTATTGCCACGAACGCTGAGCTTAGATTAAACTAATTCGAAATTTGAAAATTAGGTCACCTTTACCTCATCGATAATCATTTTATTGACACTTCGAGTTCCAAAATAATTAAACTTAAACAAGCGTTATTGCTGGTCGATTTACTGCGTCGAACCTAATGGTGACCGAGACCTTTCGAGTCGAAATGGTTAAATGTGTGTATCTTGGCTTCTAGTGAACGAAATGTCATGAAACTTTCAGAGGTTAACAAAAATTAACAACAAATCATAAAACAATCGGTCATTAGTAGATGGCGCCATTACGTTTATTAAACTAGAGTCATTCTGGTTAGTTTTGTGACAGAGTATTTATAGAGAGTATTTAAAAAGAGTTTTATAAAGTATAAAAATATGTACATCGATTTACTACATCTATCTGGGTTGCAAATAAACTATATATAATTTATAAGTTGTAACGATTGCACAACCACCACATTTATTAAACTAGAGCCATTCCGGTTAGTTTTGGGACAGAGGGTGTATATTTATAAAGAGTATTTATAAAGAGTTTTATAGAGTATAAAAATATGTATATCGATTTACTACATCTATCTGGGTTGCAAATAAACTATATACAATTTATAAGTTGTAACGATTGCACACTGTTACGTTCGGGTTCCCTCAGGGCCATAATTCCCTACTTGGAGGAGAGTGGTATCAGGATCTGCAGCGAGAGCAAGGAGTCCCTCGAGTACTCGGAGCTGAGCGTGATCGCTGAATTGTACGCTGGAATATTTTTTTCTCGCTGGGTGAGAGGACAAATCGCGAAGGCCACGAAAATCGGGTTCGTCTGCTGCAGAATAGCTAACACCATCGGGTCCACGTTCTTGCAGCTGCTGTTACTGCCTCGATTGGCTCATCTTCTTATGCTGTCGTGTCGTCACCCGGAAGTCGTCGCGCAATTGAGAGAATTGGGTACGTACTTGTTCTCGAAACGTCGACAAGCTGAAATCGGACAAGAAATGTTACGAAGAATATTACTCGCCTTAAATCGAACATTCCCAACATTGTAGAATTTGTGTCCAAGAACGATTTGGACAAATCTGGACGCACCTGGTACTATGCGTTGTGCATAGACGTCCACTTAGACACAGGTATAACGATCCTCTCCTTTCAATCGTGCGAGGAGTACTTTCTTCGAGAAGGTGAAACGATGATCAGCCTGCGTGATCCGGAAGCGGAGAGGCGATACTTCACCTCTATGTGGTTGTGGTAATCTTTGTCGCTGAAAGTCTCATCTTAGAATTTGGGTTGGTGTCAGATCACCGACAAACGTTTCACCGACATTGTTTCCGTCGACACTGATTTCATTGACACGATCAATTCACCGACATTGTTTCCATCGACACTTATTTCACCGACACGTTCAATTCCCTGACATTGTTTCCGTCGCGGATTTCACCGACACCGATTTTTAATATATGTATATGCATGTATGGTCAGTCTTAACAATAAATTTTTTAATAGTTTTACTCATTCCTTTGTATGGGAAATAAGGATGGCAATAAAGAAATATTATTATGTTTCATTTATGCTCTTTAACTTTATTAATTATCGTACATGGTTAATACATACATAAGAATGTAACAAATATACGTTAGTATAGGTGAATAATTAAAGTGAATAGAATTATTCTTTACTTTTCTGTAAACAAAGTAAATACATGGTGAATGAACAATGAACGTAGACTATACAAAGTAAACGAAAATGAACTATGGACAAGTAATTTTGTCGGTGAAATTACAAGTAATTACGTGTCGGTGAAATAAGTGTCGACGGAAACAATGTCGGTGAATTGATTGTGTCAGTGAAATCAGTGTCGACGGAAACATTGTCGGCGACTTGAACTTGTCGATGAAACGGTGTCGATGGAAACATTGTCGGTGAAACGACTGTCGGTGATCTGACATCAACCCTAGAATTTGTGTATGCAGTTGAAATAATTAGAAATAATTGAAATTAAAATGAAGGTGCATCAGAACTGAGCAATGGGAGGCTTCGCGAGTATGGGGCAGTAGAAACGTGAGCGATGGAGTCATCATGGACGAGCACATGGTAGCAGCAGCGACTACTTCCTTGAAGAAACTCGAGGGACTGCTAATTCTTTATGGTACTTCGATGTCTTCGTGTCTGTTGATCGCATTGTAATCGCATTGTAATAATCTTTGTTGTCTTTCCACCCACAGTGCACAAACTGAATAGCAGAAACGTCGATGCAGCCATAACTATGAGGGAGATACAAAGCATGTTCAAGAAGATAAAAGCAATGATTAAAATTAGTAAACTTATAGTTCCTAGGTAAAAGAGACATAGGAAAGAAAATTTCAACAATGATTTCAACGCTGGTTCGTCGAAATTGTGAGAAATATTTGGAAATTTTTTACAGATACATGATGTTGAAAGCTTATTATTGCATGATCAAGTTTCGAAGAGGCGCAGCAATGAAGCTGTTGAAACAATTGAAGACATTCTGCTTGAAAGAAGAGAACAGAATGATGTACACATGGGCAGTTCATTATGAAAAGGTTTGAAAAAACTAGAAAACTAGATTACTGTATGTAGATGCATTGTTAACCAGTGGAAAGACTATAAATGAAGAGTTTATCTGCAGGTTTGGTCAGGCCGTTTATCTTCTGTAGAAAAAGATATGTGGAAGACAATCTCAACCAACGATATGCATCCAGAATGGACTGAAATCAATGCAAATCAATCCACCATGGTGGTCTTTACTTTCCCGCTACCAAAATATCCTCAGTGATGTCTATATATAGTTAAACATAATTATTAAAATATGTGTTTAATAGGTTTTGTGTTTAAGTTTGAATCTTAAAACGCTAATGGATTTGTAGAGAAAACGTTACTAGGGATAAAAATCTTCACAATTTTTACCTGTTGCACTTAACTGTGCTATTGCGTTAATCAAGGAACGACACAGTGTTACCACTAAATAAAACTGTTTATTATAAAAATGAGATCGCGTACAAAACACGCGCCTACAGCTTTAATACTAGTGGCGTCCTCGGTGGTAAAACACCCAAGTTTGTAGTGAAAATATTTCTCACTCTTAGCACTGTGGATAACTTCGTTAACTAAAGGGTTGATAATTATTGTTGCAGTGAAAAACTATACATAAAAATGATTAATTTGACATAATAGCTAATGTATTGTAGTGTTATAAAGCAAAGAATGGTATTAATTGTGCAAAAATAATGAATAATTCATTAGAGATATTAGTGGCGCCATCTTATACAAACGGTGGGAACTATTTTGACTACAAACTTGGACATTTTGCCACCGATGGCGCCACAAAGTGACGGATCGATAATTATTGCTTTATTTAAAAACTATTCATAAAAATAATTAATTTGACACGTTAAATATTATATTATAGTGTTGTTAAAATAAAGAATAGTATTAATTATGCATTTATGAAAAATAAATAATTTATAAAAAGGTGGTAATATAACGACATGTTAAATTTGTGTTAACAAGAACATAATGTGTTAGGTATTTTTATTAGGTACTTCTAATAAGATTGAGTCGTCCTAGCTTTTAACGCATCTGTTTACAGCTATCTTTGCGCCTGAGATTCCCCCACTGAATATATTTGTAACTGCACTGTTGTTGCAGGAGAATGCTGAGAGGTACGCTTGGTTCGCGGCTCTTTGAGCTTCTATTTTCAATGAATTGACCGTGTTCTTGTATGTTCTGATAGATGCGTTGATGGTTCCCAATTTGATGGCAATGCAACTTTGCATTTGCATAGTATTCGAGGAATAGCAGTTAAGGAAAACCATGTTTAATTCATTGAGGTATTGGTTTCCAGTCTGAAATTATAAATTAAAAACAATTAGGATGTTTATTCTTTATTTGGAGTAAAATTTAGTCAAGTCTGTAGAATACTTACATTTTCTGCTGCATCAAGTGGTTGCAACGCTTGTCGAAGTTGTTGCTGTGCATCCTGTTCGCATTTCTGGAGTTCTGACAACGCTGTTTGTTTGATAGCGTTGAGACTATCTCTGCCAGTAATGTAGCACTGTTCGACATCCTTTCCTTCTGCCTTAGCAGCATTCACGGTGGCCTGATAACATTTCGAAATACCATTATAATTCCATCGAAATTCAATTAACCAAACATATCGTTTAAGAAAGTTGTTCCGTGGCTTTATTTAATAAAAGATTTTACCAAACTTTCACTTGGTTGTTCTTTGATCGAATATATATATATCATACAAGGCTATTTCGATTTAAATTAACCACCCCAGTTTTATGAAACCTGATATAATAATTTTATAATTTTAACACAGACCCTTACGGAACATACTTGCTGAAAATTTAGTATGTTATAAAGATCGAAATTTAAACAAAATAACATTCATTGATCGTGCCGTTAACTAAGATATAATTTCTTAAGGGGTTAGTCGCAGTCAGGAAAATGAAAACGGGCACTTTCTTGTGTGTATTTTTTAAGGTATTAAATAATAATTTTTCTGAATGAAATGTAAATATATTACAAAGTATGTCTTAAAGAACTATAAAAGAATTTTTGTTTTAAAAAAAGGTTAATTCATTTCGTCATAACAGGCGATGACGTGGGTGACTACTTGGTTTGCGGTGAGCAAGATTTCTTCAAACTGGTGCACCTGTGAACAAAACTAAAGGTAGATTTAGAAAATAGATTAGACTAACGGGTCCCTAATCGAAGGATTTCTTTTTTCTTGTATACTTCTTTTTTATCCTGTATTGAATCGCTTAATTTTAGTGAAAAAAATTGAAAATCAACTTCAAATGTACGCCATCTTGTTTTAAATTAATTTTTTTCAAAGTCCTTTGTTCAGGGACCCGCTAGACTAATCTATTTTCGAAATCTACCTTTGTTTTTGTTTTCAGGTAAACCAGTGTAGAGAAATCTTGCTCACCGCACACCTATGTTTTTAAATCATCGTCTACGTCATCGTCTACGTTATCGGCTGTTATCAACGATATAAATTAACGTTTCTTAAAACAAAAAATATTTTTTAGTTCTTTAAAACATGCTTTATAATATACTTAATTGTTACTTATGCAAATTATTATTTAATAACTAAAAAAAAATCACAAAGAAATGTCGTTTTTCCTCTTCCTGACTGCGACTAACCCCTTAAGTATTACGAATTTATGTGAAGATATACATATCGACGTATTATGTACGTGACTACTTTAAAAGTTTAGAACAACTTCCTCAATATACTTACTCGAATTTCATTGATCGCTGAATCAATGTTTGTATTTACGGTCGACATGCTGTTACCTCTAATAGTGCTCAGTTGGCTGTTCGTAGAAAACGACAGACTGTTTCTAGTGCGTTTGATGTCTGACACGATCGACTTGACATTGGACTTAGATTTTTCCAGTTGTTGCCTCAACTGTTCCAGTGAGTTGTTGTAGGCCATCACCTAAAAGACAAACGTCGCAATTGCACTTAACAAATTATGCTAATTTTCTAGTTATGCTTTTTTTTTTAAATTATACGTTCATCTATAATTTGGACATAAAGTTTTGAAACCAAAATTTAATTCTTCAATGTTATTCTTAGGTCAACGATCTGTGATGATGAACTGATACCTGAACACTTACCTGCACGACGCAAATGGCCGCGAGGAAGCAAAGTGCGAAGTAGTTCATGTTCGTTGAGGATAGGTGCGATTCGCTCGTATCTCCTTTCTTTCGCCAACTGTTAACGGATGATTCGAACACCTGTGTCTTATATGGAATGGATGATGAGTCAAACTAGATCATCGCGACAAAGAGAAGGGATGCGATAACGCATTGCGTTCGGTGGTTCCCCGCATTTTCGCCAGTGGGGGATCCACCAGGATTCAAAAACTGCTGGAATAATTGTGCCGCGGTCGTAACTACGCGACGTGTGTCACGTTTTATTTTCCTAACGGGTCTCTCCAGTCTCCAGAAAATATTAAAACGGTCGGCCTCATCGAACGCATCCAATTATCACTGAACGAATAACGGAATAAATTCCAGCGATCTTGAAATCGTTGGTGCAATTTCTTCTGTTTTACGAATTAATTAAAATAATCTAAGCAATTAATTCGATTGTTTCGGTAATGTTCAGATCTGCACACGATCCCCACTTCCTGTTCTACTTGGAAAACTGATAAGGATCGGCGAAAATTTCTAATAAAATGTGACAAACAACGATATACTTCGATTATTTTGTACGATTAATGTTATCATATTCCTTTATACAGTTTATCAATGAATCGTGTCGAGGTTTTCGTGAGAACGTTTGACTCATCTTATCGTTTAATTGCAGAGGCTTTGTTAATTATTTATATACAGGGTGACACATATAAAACGTTTAATGAAATAATTGTGGATTTTTAGTTCGTTTCATCGAGGGCTGTGTAATATCTCCGATTTAATATGTTTAATTATTATTTTGAAGTGTTTACTATCTAATCTGTTTCCTGTTGGAAACGTGTATTACGTCCATTGTTGGCATCAACGAATTGATTTCGATCAATTTCGAATCGATTAAAGACTCTTTAGATATACTTTCGTAATAAACATACGTCATTCGAATTCATTTCTCTTGCGACAGGTGGTTCTACACACTAATATCGACAAATTTTACTTGTGGATTTAATATATTTAAATAATTGCCGTACACTGGTACTAATGATCGCCTCTACGATAAGCTACATATTAATGATATTAAACGATACGTATTAATAAATTACTAATCGAGACTGTACAATGTTATTTCGCTGTGTTGGCGTGCAAAACGATTACGTCTGTCTTCGAGACCACGCAAAAAACAGAAAAGAAAGAAAAGTCAAATCAACTTGAGATTTCGAGATCGTGGCAATTGAATTACCGCGTCGAACTTTTCTACGCTTATAATTACGCGATACGCTTAAATTTGTAAAAAAAAAAAAAGAAATACTCGATATTGGCAGTAACAATTCGCGATCGTTTCAAAGAATTGTTGTAAACGTATGAAGCGCTATACGAGAAACAAAAAACAATACATTTAGACGTACATGTATCGCAGGATACATAACAAAAAGAATAATAGAATACCTAATGGTAGGTGGAAGAAATTGTCACGTGTTAGTTGGTAAACTACCGTTCGACTGCGAATAATATACATACGAAAACGGATACATTTTCTTTTTATCATGCAATATGTATTCTACATTCGTTATTAAACGAGTCACACGATTCGTTTCCATTTTTCCACTTTATAGGTTTTTTTACAAACATGGCGAAACCAATCGTGCGACCTGTTAGGTCGTTGATGACTCGTGTAGAAATTTTGATCACATGGCTGTACAAAAATGATTACAAAACGTTTTTCCGCGCTATCGTCTATCTACGAGAATACCGAAAGCTCAAGGTTGCTTTTGAAGAGCTCTAGTTTGCTCTAGAAGACGATAGTTGGATCGTTCATCCTCTATGCTTCGCTACGTTACTATATGGCCGAATTCGCCGTGTTATTCGCTCTCTAATTAAAAAATTAATGTATATTTATATATATATATATATTTATATGTATTCGATAATAACATTAACTATGGCAGTCTGTTGAAACGTTACGTACTTAGCTAAATTCCCTTCGGTTCTCATACAATAGCCTATGAGAGCGAGTTCGTCGTACCTCTGCCAAAAGAAGGATTTGTACTCGAGAATTGTTTTGGTATTTTGGAGTAGGTACGAGAGACTCTCTTCACGTTTCCCTCGTCGTTAGTCAAGGTTTTCGTCTCGAAAATCAAGGCATCGATTTCAAAGGATCTAAACATCTCCTAAAAATATCGGTTGCAGCGTTCATTGAAAATGTGGTGTGTTCACTCGTATCTGCTTTGAGTATTCATTTTTCCTCCCGATCTGTTATTGCTTCATTTTATAAACCAACAGAATTATGTAGGTGGATGAAGGAGACCAAAACCTACATTATGAAACTTTTAACACATCGATTGCCGTGTCACCAATATATTGGCGATAGAACTTTTCATTAGGAATTTAAAGAAAATGATTCTGCAGATGAAGTGAACAAGAAAATATTAGTTTGTCTGGAAAGTCCGTGCCGATTTTTGTTAAGTTGTACACGTCTGTTTATATTGGAATGGTTGAAAACAATTAACGTGGGTCAATCCATTTAAAAGATGGAAAGGTCGTGGAACAAAATGGTATTTATATAATTCAATAAATATATATCAAAATTCTAATGTGCCTTTGAATTTTTCTTAAAAATTGGCACAAACTTTCTGGACAACCCAATAAATCTAGATAAGATCGTAACTCAACGAATCTTAGATTATGTATTCTCCAATTATTTTCAAAGAAAATTTCGCCTCGGAAAAATGTTCACAGTTAACGTGTCAAATAAAATATTTTAAGCAATGTCCAGGTCTCCGATTGAAAGATACGTTTTCGATTGTCAAAAATAGATTCACACCGCTTTCCCAATCAACGTTCTGTACTTAAAATAGTCGATACCGGTCGCTAGCATTGAGTTACCACTCACGTTAATAAGTTAATTCCATTCGCTACATCAGAACCGCCCCCGTGGGCGCGATACGAATTTCTCGGCTCCGAAAACATCGCATAAATCAACCACGCTAAGTCATAGGTCGCCCAATGTAATATTCTACGTGTCACGAAAATACTAAAGTCTCGGTGTTTCAAGTCAAACGACTCCAGCAAGCGTTGCCAGCGAGGAGGAGTGACCTAGTAGACGCCAATAGATAAAAATGCGCAAACTCTAGTTGTAACTATACCTCTTCTCTTTAAACCTGCATCAAAACGTATTGTACAAACATAGTGAATAAGGCATGGATTTACGGCAGTGGCAGAATGTACAGCTGCCTCAATTTGCATCTTCTTAGTCATACAGTAGCTGAAGTACTCGACTGACCAAATGGTACAGGTTCAGACCTGGATCTTCCATTAGAAGATGGTCCAAGAGATGCCAAATATCGAATCCATCGAAAGGTGTGCAATAGGAGGAATTTATTGTTAGAGGAAACGTTAAATCCCACTGTGGCTTGGTTTAATCCTTTTATCAATATTTATCAATGTAATCAATAATTATCTCGATAGATCCTCCACTTTAGAAAAGATTAGATGGGCTTATACCACTTGGTTCTCCACTTTGGGTTCCAGTTTTTCTTTCTTTACCCAGTTTCCAACCAAATTGGCAGTCATGTTTCATTGAGTATGAACAAAACGAATACTGCAGTCCTTACCGGATATTAAGTTATTTACACATCTAATGGAACTCTTAACTGGACAAATGCAAGAATTCGGCGAACGAAAGTATTACAGTGCGCTTTTCCTAGTTCATAATTCGCGTCCCATAACTATTAAATTACGAAAACTTTCGTCTAGTTTCGCTGAAATTTCTTCGCGGCGGGTTTTCCTTTCTTTCGCTAATATCTGGCTATTCCCTTGGAATTGTTCCACGTTGGAAAATAGTTTTTCCACTTTTCTCTTCTTCAAGTTCTCGGTGTGTCGACTTCGAGAACCTATTTCAATAGGCTTGGATGAATTTACTGTAGAATTAGCAACAAGAAATGAAATTCTACAAAGGACACCTTACTATAAATAAACCATTGAACTCTAAATGCAAATCGTTAAGTAAATGGTTGTTAATTAATCTACACTCTATTCGGCGTATCGAAAATAGTTCATCGCGAGTGCTCCTTCGCGTTTTCCGGGCACGTGAGCTCGCATCGAAGCGATGTCTCTTTGCTCGTACGACGTTAACATTTCGTCCAATAACTATTGCTAAAAATCACGCAGACTAGTGACGACTTAAGCGAATGATAAGTAATCTTGAGGTCAAGATGTCGGTTCGTTGGCAGATCGTCGATTTCATCTTGTGTTCGCGGAACCACTCCTCTGCAACGCACTCGAATCCACTAGTGGAATTTTTATCTGCTGAAAGCTGAAAATGTTTTGTTTAGGGGATGATCCAACAGCGAGCAATCAAACTATTTTGCAAGCAGGAAATTTATCCTGGAGTTGAAGAATAATTAAATAATTTTGAGCAATTTTCAGATATCAGAAGTGATTTAAAATACGTTCTCTGGTAAGATCAGAACATCTAGTGCAGAACATCTTCAAAATCATAACTTCAACTTTTAATTTTATCAATAAAAAAAAAAAGGATATAAATTTCCTAATAATTCTTGTAGCAATCCAATGATGGGAAAAAGTGAATCGAAGTATTTGTGCTACGTACCTGTACTCCACAGGCATCTAGAGATTAGTAAGCTCCATACTTCCTGGACTAGGGTGGTAGGACATCCAATTTTAAGCCGATTTTAGGGTGACAAAAGCCACAGTAACCTCCGCATTTTCCAGTGACGCGCTGATTGCTCTAAAGGGCGCAATTAAAATAATTAAAACAAATAATATTATATACTAATTTTTCTTCTACTAATTTCTTTATTTTTTTACGAAATAGAAGTTAGATTTAGGTCATAATAGTTGCCGTACTAACAGCCAAGCTTGGAACCTCACATTTTTATTAATTATGCTAGTACTAATTATATGCCTGACTCACAATATTATTAATTTCCATCGATACTCCAGGTTTTCCCGTCCAAGTAACATCCGACGATAGTTTCAGACGAGTTCCGCTTAAGTTGATGCTGAAGCGACCTTGGGGACAATAGACACGACTATAGCAATCACCAGCCATACCATACTTGACGCGATTCGCACCTTCCGTCCACGAGAATGTGTAATCGTTCTCTGGAACATACACAGAGGAATGTTTTGAGATATGTTAGGTCTGAATTTTACTTACGAATTCGAATTTGTTGCAGCTTACCTGTAATGTAAAGCTTGACAGGATCGAGTCGCACCCTTTTGAACATTGTTTTGCCAGAAATGGTCCCAACGTCGGTAGCACAATCGCAACTATTGTTTCTCTGTCCATTGTAGGGACATGTTCGAGAATCTATTAATCTAGAAATGATGTACTGTTATAAACAAGGAATTTTGAACTCTATATTTTTCTATAATTTTACGGACAACATAGAACAAATGATATAGTATTAGTTCCACGGAGAATGTTTTTTTTTTATATCGATCTGTTAATTCGCAATTTGTTTTCTAAGTAAACATTCGGTAAATTTTATTTACATTATGGGTAACACTTTCGCTGTGAATGACGCATATCTGCGTCCAACTGAAAATTTATTGGTTGTTTTTTATTATTTTTCAGTTTTCATTTTTTGTGTTCGGCAATCATATTATATATATAAAAAAGTTACCACAAACATAAGTTTTTCAAAATAATCATATTAGAACATTTGTAATAAATTTTTCATTAACAAAAATATAATTGCAGCTCCCAGTGAACGGCTACTTATTTTCGTCCGCAGCGAATGTATTAAGAACATGTGGATCATGTCTTTGCCAACTGCATTGTCTTCGAGATGGACGATGAAAAATGAAAATAAAATGAAAAATATGCGGTATTATTAAAAATAGATCTAACTATTTACCTCTTGTCATATATCTCCGCGTAGTTTTCTCGAGGTCCAGCCACTAGAGTCAAATACTCCTTTGGTTCCGAGGTAGCCATTCCATGGCAGTAAATCGACATGCTTCTTCCGCTCACGATCAAAGTGTATTCGGTGTCATTGGTTGTTTTGAAATATTTCTTGGCTTCGAGGCAAGAAACTGGGTAACACTTTCTCTGGTTGCATTTCTGCTTCCGGGGCGGCTTGTGTTTCAGAGGGCAGTTGACGCGCATCACCTTCTTCCCAGTTCTGTCATGGCAGAATAATCTTCGCGTTTGACGGCCCTTCTGGCCGCACGTGTGACTGCACTGAAATTTAGATTGATTTCAGTTACCTAATACTCCAAGTATTTTGTTCGGCAAAAATTTCGTTCGGATTTTAACGTACAAATAAACATTTTTCTTAGATAAGGAAATATATATCTACTATATAAAATATTGTCCATTTTGTTCTATGATCTTCCAACATCTTATGAACAAACTCATGTTTCCAAATTGCTATCGCCACTTAATAGATACTAATTTAGATAAGAATTCTTGATACTCGTGTATATAAACTTATTTTAATAGTTTCTTAATATTTGGAAACTGTTTAAAGCCTGATTTATCCTATTCTATCGAATATTTTCTAATTATGGCTGGTCTTAGTCGTTGAATTAAACTTACCTTCTTCCATGGACCAGCAGTCCAGTAATACTTGTCGTCACAGTCCCGCAATTTACAAGTTTGTTCGGTGGATGGTTTCTGATCCATCGGGCAATTGTCACTGGGTGCTGGATCGATCACTCCATAACGATTGGTGCGATAACAGGTCACCGTCCGTCGTTGGATTCCTTGGCCACACTTCGCTGAACACTTGAAACAAAGTTGCTTGCTCTTCATTGCGATTCTTACCAAGTAAACCAATGATGAAAACTGGTATGGTTTTTTTTCTATTTTGTCTATTCCTCTTTCTAATGTAGAATGTAACATCACATTATAGACAAGACAAGATTTTTTTTTAGTGAAACAATTCGAGCAAAATTTAACAGTAATTTATAAACATGAAATATACGTGAGAATTTCAGTACGTGATAGATGATATAGTAAACATTTTCATTCCTTAACACTTATATATTGTGTTCATTCATTGATAAACATTTTTTGGCGTGCAGCAAGCATAACAACAAATCCATTCCCATGCACAGTTCACGAATAAATAAAATGCACGGTTCACGATCACGCAAGTGATTTGATCGAATTCACGCGAAGTTAATAATGTTAATTGAATGAATTATTGGTGTGCATTCTTCCGCCATGGATGATCTGATGAAATACAAACTTCTTTGTGTATATTTGCAGTCCAATCTCTTGCAGGGTTTCTATGTGTCTAACAAACGCTTGGATACATCAAAAATGAAAAATTCTTATAACGAAAAGGAACAATACAGAACGCTAATATTATTAAACACGTGTTAAGGTGAACTAGAATTTGGGTTATTTAACTACGAATCGATCACTCTACTTTGGTGGAAACATACCAAGACCATTTGATGATCAAAGATAGTACGATAGTATAAATACGAAGGATATTATTGTAGACCACCTCTGACATTATATTTGTGTGAATTATAAGCTCCATTTATGTTAAAGAATTAAATTAAAAGAGCCTGTAGTCAACAGATTTAACTAACTTTGATCATTTCGTGTACTATCCCTCAAACCACAATGGAGTACGAATTTCTAATGAATCTTTGTTTGGACTTGATCACACACCAGTATCCTTTTATTTAGAAAGGTACAATCTATCCTTTAGCAAATTTACTGTATATTCACTTTCGCGGGATGGTAGCGAGGGTGAAACAAGCGCTGTTACTTTAACAGCTCACATTCACAAAGTTACAGAATCACATCTATACACGGTCTGTCTAAAAAGAAACCAAACTTTTACTATTAAAAGAAAAAAGTACAAATAAAGTTTTCACACACATGTTTATTTACTCAAAATAATCTCCCTCTGCGTCAATATAGCGTGTAGACCGCGTAATTAAAATTTCGAAGGACCTTTGCAGCTCCTGTTTTGGTAGCCCGTTTAGTATGGCGATTACAGCGGCCTGAATCTCCGAAATGTTGCTATAATGTGTCCCTTTCATTGGAATTTTCAATTTTGAGAAAAGAAAATAATCGCAGAGAGACAGATCCGACGAGTAGCGTGAATGTTCCAAGGTAACAATGCCAATTCCAATGAAAGGGACACATTATAGCAATATTTCGGAGATTCAGGCCGTTGTAACCGCCGTACTAAACGGGCTACCAAAACAAGAGCTGCAAAGGTCCTTCGAAATGTTAATTACGCGGACTACACGCTGTATTGACGCAGAGAGAGATTATTTTGAGTAAATAAACGTGTGTGTAAAAACTTTACTTGTACTTTTTTCTTTTAATAGCAAAAGTTCGGTTTCTTTTTAGACAGACCGTGTATGTTTTTTATGTCGACAGAGCCCCGCAATCACGCAAAAATGAACATTGTAAGAGGACAGATTGAGTTTTCCCCTTGTTAGTGACAATCTAGAACATATCTGGGCACTGCAAATGCCTCAGCGCACGGCTAGCACGCAAACTAGTGCCGCCACTAGTTTACGTGCTCGTAGTTCGCTGAAACGCGTAGTACCCCTAGCCCTGGTCGAATTGAAAAACAAAATAAACGTGGGTCCATCCGTAAGCTCCGTGATAGGTTCGAACCAAGACATGGAAATTGCGAAATGGACAAGTTGGCAGGCGATGATAGAAAAAACGTGATCGATGGATCGTAATGGCGAGGTATGAAGGTACCTCAGACCAAGCGTCTTCCTGCCAAATATAGTCACAGGCAACGCGTCGGCAGGACCTCTGCGATCTTGGCTTGGCCAGACCAAGCCTCGAGCACTGCTCGTCCTTAACCGTCACTTCCGGTCCGTGGTTTCCTCTCCTCATCGTGCACTCCACCCTTCGCCTCTGTAGTCCGCTACCGCACGATTTCGAGCACTGCAAAACATTTTCATTCGACCAAACTGCGACTGAAGGCGCCTTCCCTCGACTCCCACAACGATACCTCAGCGAATACATATTTATTCACGGCTCCTATCCAGGTTACTAGCAAGCTACCACTTTTTCTTTATTCTCTAACGAGACCAATGCTTTCTGTATTTATAATTGACCTTTTCAGTTGGATACTTGCTGGCCTAAGTTGCCGTTTACGCCAGAGTTGAACATTATTCGAATAAATCTCTATCTAGAATTATCTAGATAAGATTATGTAAATAATTATATCTACATAAATAGTTAATTGACACTATTTTTGATAATCCTTATTCGTTGCTACGAATTGTCTTTGGAGACGAGAAAATAAATTTGATATAATGTAAATTGAAATAATGCATACTATTTAAGTTGTTCAAATAAATGTATCTAGATAGAACGTTATTCGTTGTTCGGATAAAAATTAGCACAACTCTGGCTCGCGCTATCTTCTTACCTTTTACTTTCAATCTTTCCATTTGTGCTGCTGCATGTCGAATTAGTATTGATATTACGAGAAAGCCTGATTTAACATTTAACATTTTCACGAAGTAAACTGATCGCATGCCGTTCAATCCACAGAGGAAAACAGCTTTCAACAAAGATGGGATTATAGATTCACAACATCGATAGAAGACTCATTGTCAGTGACACGAAGTTAGGAGGAATGTTCAATTACGTTACCTTTGTGGACCCTCGCGTAACATAGTACAGTATTCTACTTTTACAAAATGGTGGTGCTATTGCAAAGGGTTTCTATTGTCACTTTACACGAAGTAAAGAAATTATACCCTGATTTGGCAAAGATTTTTAGGTGCCAATGACAGTAATAATATTGTAAATATAAGATAATCGGTTATAGAGTGAAATTATATCGTTTACATATAAGGAAAGCGATATTAGGATATAATACTTACGGAGGTCCAGTTAGACACTTTCCATTTTCGGAAAATGTTCGTTTCTAACCGGTTCTTCCTGTTGATAGGAGTCATACAGGGGCTCTTTCGACAGATCTTCACCACTTCCGGTTTCTCGCTGTCGTGGCAGCTATCGTCCGGTAGAATTTCACCGTAGGGACTCTGACAACGCACTTGGCGGTGTTGGAATCCCGCGTCGCATTCGACGTTACACTAAATTCAGAAATCAACGAATTGACTCAATCGTAAAATGTAATCCAATTCAATGATTTTTGTAGGGTGTCACAGTATCTAGAATGGTATACTACCCACGGACCACGATTGTAATTGTTTCAGGCATATAAAAGGAGGAAAAAATAACAAATGTATCATTTATTTTTATAAGTTATTCCTCCACTGACCTGACTCCAATCACCAGTGTTCCACATTGGACATCGATGGGGGTTGCAAGGAATAGCAGACAATGGTTTCTTCTTCCTGTCGCAGTAGTCGTCGGGAGCGATGGTTTCCGTTTCGGTGGAAACGCATTTCACCACCGTGGACATGTAGCCATCGATACAAGGCTTGGAACACTGGAAAAAAGATCGCAGACAGTTATTATATATAATTATTCATAGTTCTTCGGAATCAAATCGTAATGAGAAAAGTACCAACCTCCTTGTAGGATCCAACATGCCACTGGTACCCAGAACGGAATATAATATCGCCAACCTCGTTGCCCTGCTGGGAAGGATCCTCCTGTGGTGGATCAGAGGAATATTTAATCGGTGGTGCATTGACCTATAACAACATTCTGTTAGTAGTCTTGCGATTTAAGTACAGCGAGACGCATGAAAAGAGGTAATCACCACTATCGGGCAAGGATGAAGCTGACAGGAGGCGATGTCCTCTGGTTTGTCAGAATTGGAGCATTTGTTGCTAGTAGTTCCATCAGAAGTCTTGCAAAGGACTTTCCTTTGTTTTATACCTTCGCCACAGGTGACTGAACACTGGACACAGGACAAATTTAAATTTTATTATGTGGTTCAATTATATCAACATAATATATTGTATATTGGTACGTGTTATATCAATTTTTTTATTAGTTATACAGTGGTTTGAATTGATTTGTAATTTCAGTATTTTAATTCAGGATCGAACTGATTTGTAATTTCAGTATAGAATTCAAGTGCAAGGTCTTAACTAATCCCAAGGCACTATATTTACCGTGCTCCAGTCGCCAACTTGCCATTGATCGCAAGGCCCAGCATTGCAAGCCTCCACGACCTCAGGAGGCGAGTCACCGCAATGACTATGCGACACTATTCGATTGTCCACGTGGCACAAGTATTGCCTTCGTCGTTTGCCCACACCACACGTCACGGAGCACTACGGTTAAAAAATTACCCTCAAATTCGAAGAAAAGACTCATAAAGAATACATTGATACCACACGTTGAACAATTGCAATCCAATTACTTGGAATTTTCATAAAAAATTGCTTGGAAATGCAGCTACTTGACATACTCATAAAAAATTGCTTGGAAATGCAGCTACTTGGAATATTCATAAAAAATTGCTTCGATGCTTCGAAAATGGCTGAAAATGTCCGAAACAATTTCCAAAACCACTCACAGGGGTCCACTTTTCGAAGTCCCACTTGGGACACGCGTCCTGTCCGCATATCCTCTTCAGATACTTCTCCTGTCTGGCGCAGTTGTCCTCGCTCACTGGTCTCCCATTCGAGTGCTCGCAAACGGCTGTTCTGTATTGAACTCCACCCCCGCAGGTGACACTGCAGCTACCCCATTCACCGTAGTTCCAATGAACGTTCTCGCAGGGACCACTGCAAGCTTCCTTTTCGTTCGGTCGTTGAAGATGCGCGCAGGCCTGCGCGTGTACGGGACGAGGCGGATAGTTCGAGTTGTAGAGGATTTGGAAGCACTTGGAGGTCACAGCGCGAGTACCCGAGCCACAATGACTGGAGCACTCGGACTTGGACGTGATTTGCCACCTGGAACAATTGGGAATGAAGGAAGGGGATCCTCAAAACTGACAGATGTTTTTGAAGCTGGAATGTATGTTCAGCAAGGGAGCACTGTTTCAATCATAACTATTTCGACTCAACTCTTTTGTCGCAGTTTTCTATTTGAATCGGATTCGTCTCTCTTTTAGAAATTAATTGTATCGAAACTCTATCGACTCGACTCTTTCGTCTCAGTTTTCTATTTGAATCGGATTCGTTTCTCTTTTAAAAATTAATTGTATTAATGCGTCGATCGCTACGTCACTAAACCTTTAGAGAATCGGAAGACACTTACTTGAGGTAACAGTGACGGTTACAGAGCTGGCTCTCCTCGCGTGGTTTGTCTTCCTCGCGGCAGTAGTCGTCGGAGACGACATCCTTGTGCTCGGTGCTCCTGCATTTAGCTTTGCGATACTTCACGCCCTGGCAAGTGTAACTGCATTCTGACCAGTTGCTTAGAACCCAGGTGTAACTGTCTAGGATCTTTTTAGGCACCGTGTACTCGTAGGTGATTTGAGGTGGATACTCGTCTGGCACCGATAACACCTGAAAGGCCACGTTGCTATTATAAAAACTTACGAGAAATGAAGGAACAGTTTAAATGCTCTAAAACGTGTCGATTCAATTAAAAATAGACTGGGGATGTTTATGGAAATTTACATTTCTACAGATGTAGATAAAGGAATGATAAGTAGAATATTAATATTTTGTGTAACAGTCAGTCACATAAATATTCGTACCATCTAGGTTTATTAAATATTAAATCTATCATTCAATTCATTATTTATATTAGATATTTTATGAATCTTTTTAATTAAATCCTAACGTTATATTTTCATAAATTTTTCTAATCAGAAATACACAGAAAGTATGCAGAAATATTCAAGTGTTCTGAAATTACCTCTAAGATTAGGTCAGTGCCAATAGGTCTGGAACTATTTAAACGCTCCACAACCGATTCAGGTCCGCTGTACTCGATAGTGACACCAGACTGCACGATGGCGATCACTTTCTGGTGCATCACCATGAAGTTCCCGTTCAGTATATACTTGCCGCCTTCTCCGAGTCTTAGAGCTACACAAAACCATTTAATTTCGAGTCACTTTCGATTCTCAACAAATAATTTTATTACTTTAATTTACCAGGTCTCTTTCGAACCCTTAACTGTCTTAAACTTCAGGTGATAAATATATTTTTATTTAAGTGTACCTTAGATCGAATTTGGCTAAGTAGAATCTCAAATGCAGGTAAGTTTAATTTCACTCAAAGATGCATCTCGCTTATCCAGGTGCAAGAACTGTTTGTCCCACTTACAGAGGCTCTGAAGTTAATCGTCTTACTCGCAGAGAATTTAATGTTACCCTCTCTGTACATTATTTCATCGCATTTCTCAACTTGATGTTTTATGGAGTTAATCGATTTGTGCAGTGAACGGATGAAATATCAGCCATACCTAGATAGTTGTTGTCGTCTTTGGAATTCATCCAACCGTACTGCCTGATGTCGATGTTGCTGCTTCCCGCTGGAATCTTGGTCACTCTCGTGTACCCGTACTGGGTGGAGTTGTAGGTGCCCGTGATCCTTTGGCAAGTGGAATTGTCACCCCTGCAGACGCCGCAAGTGTCGAGCTTCGCCATCGAGTTCAAAACGTGGTCGCATCCCGCTGGTTTACAGTGGCCGTTCACGCACACGTCGAAGGTGTCCAGGCCACACGGCGTTCCATCGATCACCTTGCCATGCTGCATGTAATACTGATTGCTCTCCACTTGGCAGTACAATATACAACGGTCCTGTGGCAATACTGAAACAGGAAGACCAGACGGCGTAGAGGAAACTCTATTAACGTAGTCTCATATTTACGAGACGCTGGTTACCGATGGAATAACTTACTCCGCGTATACTTGGCGTGCCATTTCACGTCCTTGGTCACGTTTGGTATGTTTCGGTTGTTGTTGTCGAATTGCGAGCACTGCTGCTCCCTGCGAAAAGGGACAAAACGGATTTGTTCGTTGCTTTAAATGCGGGACTTCGAACTTCTTCCTGGAGCCATGCAATTAACACTATTAACACTAACACTATTAACACTAGATTCTTTTTTACTGAAGTAAAACTTTAACACGTTCACTGCCAAACTAGTCGTGAAAATTGACATGAGCCTAATACTTTTGTTTCCGTGTAAGTGGAACTTGTTTTTGCAATTTCGTTAGAGGGTAGAGGGTTAAATATAAACATATTGTAGTTATAATGTGTTCACCAAGGGAAGTTGAAGAGGAGACTTAAGGACTCCTGCACAGCTCACTAGGTATGCGTTGACGTTGGTAGTTTCAGTAATAAGAAACAAGTAAAGAAGTGAAAATGAACTCTTATTGGGGGTTGTCTTCACCAGGCCCCTATCATAGGGTAGAGGTTTAAATTTAAACATATTGGGTTGTTCAGAAAGTTCATGTCAATTTCTAAGAAAAATTCAAAGGCACATTTGAATTTTGATATATATTTATTGAATTACCTAGGTACCATTTTGTTCTTTCCACCGTTTAAGTGATGTATACATGTCATTTGTTTTCAACCATTCCGATATATTCAAACCTGTACCACCTACCAAAAATCGATATGAATTTTCCAGAGAACCCAATATTATAACTAGACTGCAGATGTTTATGCAAAATAAAATTTTCGCGAACGTGCCTACAAAAATTTAACCTAAATAGAAATTTATTTTATTCAGCAAATGTTATAACATGAACTTTACTTTCAATCTTTTTTATATTCTTGCATATTGTTTGCATTCTGTAGTTTCTTGCACATTCAAATTTCCTATAAATGCATACATATCCGCAGTCTAATTATAACCATAATGTGTTCGCTAATGGAGGCTGAAGATATTGCTGAAGAAGTCTTGAACTGAAGGAGTACAACTCACCTGAAATCCGGACTTCCTGGAGGACACTCCTTGGTCCCACAGCTGCGATATTTCACACGATCCCCGACACAGTAATTTCCACCATTTTGAGGGAGTGGACTGTTGCACTCGCGATACTTCTTCTTTATGCCCCCGCCACAGGTCCTCGAGCACTCGCCATAGCGTCCCCATTCACCCCATTGGCCGTGCACCGGCTCCAGATTTGTTCGAGAGACGCACTTGCCCCGATGGCACCATTTGTCGTAGCCACAGGCGGTTCCATCAGCCCAGGGCATGTACTGGGTATGACATTCATCATGATGATCCCACTTCGGTGCGGTGCACCACAATCTCCTGCACACTGCCTGGCCGATAACCAACCAACCGCTCAGTTTATCTCAATTCTTAAGCAGTACATTCGTTATGCGACTATTTGTTTCGATCGTTAGCCCTGCAGGTTCCGAAATTGATCTTCTGGAGTGACTGCAGCGTCAGGGATGAGTTGAACCTCGATAAATGCATGGACCTCGTTCCTCGCGTTGGGGTGAGTGGTGGAGAGGGCTGATACAGGGATGATTGAGTAGAGTTGGATAAGAAAAATTATAAGGTACTAGAATTTTGTTATTTCTTTTTTCAGGTCAAAGCAGTAGTGGATTGAAATTTCCTATTCTAATCCAATATTTCTTACTTGATCACCCCCTTTCGTATACTTTGGTGCAATTATCGAGGTTCTACTCCAACATACAGTCCTTAAATGATCGTACCCTTTATGTCTGTCGAAGAAATTTGTCTTCATAAATTCAATTTAAATATGTACTTCCATGAAACATCAAACTTATCATTTAATTTTGACATATCTCTTCAATAGATATACAGTGTATGTATACTCATGAGTTTGACTGCACATGAGATTAAATGTCGAAATTCCTATCAGCGGCCATTAGAATTTATAGCTCCTTTGTTTCTTTCGTCTCAAAACTAAAATTCCAAAAGTAATCGCGATGCCTGCGTTTCTCAACAAAAGAATCCCTAAGATAGCATTTCACGAACCCTTCTAGAGCCGTCAAAAATGCGCTACCTCGGGCTAACTCGTCTGAATGAGTAATTCGTACAAAAACGCGCGACTTACCATCACTGACCATGTGGGAGCAGATCCTGGAGCCTCGACCGAAGACGAGCTCGCACTGCTTGTTCGCGGAGTAATCCTCGCCTGACAGTCTGCTCGCGTCCTCCATTTCCATGATCGTCGCGGGCTTGTCGAGCAGGCAGTTGCCGTTCCCAGCTCTGAAACAAATTTCGACATGCTCGAAGATCATCGTTCCGGTTAGTGGACCACCGCGCGGTCATTTGGGTGGAACGAAAATTTTTGTTGGAAACGAATGGCCCTCGCGGCGCGCGGGTCATTTAGAATCCAGCGGAACCGGATTCCTAAGTGACGAGTCGTCGGGTTCTTCTGCCGCTGCAGAAAAACTTGCACCACCGCGTCCACCAATCGAACCGAATTCGATGGGTGAACTGAAGGTAGAGGGTAGAGGGTTAAATATAAACATATTGTAGTTATAATGTGACGCTTAGTTACAGGGTATCATCAAAATCTGAATCTTGACTGTGCTGATCCATGTTGGGGACACTTGTCGCTCTCTAAGGGAAAGGGGATAAGTAATCGGTGGATGGTCAGTGAGATTTGCAGGAGGTTTGACCATATTTGGTCATTCTTTTCAGTGGCAAAAGTTAAAGGAGATTAAATAAGAAATTATTATTGTATTTCTCAGCTAATCCATGCTAATGACCCTTATTGGTTTTTAAAGAAAGGGGAAAATTGCTAATTGAAGGACAGTCAGAGAGGTTTGTAGGTGGTTTGACGATGTTTGACCACTTTTCTCAGTTGCGAAGTTGAAGGAAATCAAATATGAAACGATAGTACTCTTCAACTAATCCATGCTAGGACCTTTATTATGTTTTAAGGAAGTGGAGACTAAATTGGTAGACAACCAGTAAAGTTTACAAGAGGTTTAACCATCCTTGACCGCTCTTATAACGTTGCAAAAGTTAAACGAGGTCAGATATGAATATATCACACTTCTCAGATTCTTGGACATTCGTTTGACTGAGTAAACACGTTGCAGAACCTTGAAAGAATTTCCTCCAGCATCTTAGTGATCCAGGACTCCACGAAAATGAGACTTAGGACTTGCAACTTAATTGTAAAAGAGACTCGCTGCTCTAACGAGAGCCAAATTGATTTAAGTAAACTTGCTACGCGTCAACAGAGGTTCAGCTCACGTCTGTTAACGTTTAGAACAATCCAACGACGCCATAAACAATAGACACGTGGAACGGTATCTGGCTGGATGAAGAAAAAGTAAATCCTAACGAGACAGACGAAGTCTAATGCCGGTCAGAGCAATGGTCAGGGGTCAATTCATCGGCGTGACACTTTTCAGAACGATGTCGTTTATTGTCTCGTCAAGGTAATAACTGACTCACTCGAGGAACTCAGTGACGTAATGCCTGGAACACGCAGACCATTCCCACGGGAAGGTGTTGTCGTCCAGCATCCTGGACATGATGTTGTGCACGCCTGAACGGTTCCTGAACCCTCTGCACTTCGTATCGTCGTCGTCGTGTGGCATATTCAGTCTGGAATTCGAAAAATTTGATACTGATTTATTTTTTTATAATTTTTAATTAGGAAGCATATTTTTATTTACACTCTAATTCCTGGCTTGGCCAATTTATGCTGAAATTAATATTGGAGGACTTGTGGAAATTTGTAATTAAAATGATGTTGACGGTTTCCATTTTACATTTTTAACTAGCGAGGATATTTTGAAACCCTCTAATTCTTATCTTGAATAATTTATGTTGAAATTAATATTGCAGAAATGTGGGCATTTTTAATTCAAATGATGCTGGCGGTTTCATTTTTACATTTTTAACTAGCAAGGATATTTTGAAACTCTTAGCTTGAATAATATATGTTGAAATTAATATTGCAAAATTGTGGGATTTTTTAATTCAGAGCATTAATTCAAGAACAGAAGTCCAACTACATATTGCAGTCTGAAATCAGTTCTATCTACGCTTATAAATGATCCAAGCGTGGAGAAAAGATGACACGAGTGTAAGTAATATAAAAATATGAGAACATTCGTTCAAGGTGGTCTTATGGACGAAAAAGAAGCGTCCCTAGTATGTTCCCCATGGCCCACTATATTTATAGAGTGGTCCAGCTGGTGTCAGTCGCTTGGACCACCTTGCGTACTAATTCTCAACCGAAATAGGCACTTATTTACGACAGTTTGATTACTCCAGTCCTACTCACACGTGACCAATCTCGTGAGCAATCGTGAATGCAGCAGCCAGCCCATTGTCCTGAACGATGGCGCAGGAGGACCCTGGAGAACACATACGTCCCAGCTCGGCCAGACCCAAAGTGTCGCAGCGCATTTCGTCGGGATTGTGGCACAGATTTTCCCTGAAAATATTTCGTTGCTTTGCAAACCACCAAATAAAATCATCTGCGTTATTTCAAAAGCACGAGGAGCACATATAAACTTATAACTTGTTACTACAATTTAAAACGGAGGTCTGGATTAGATCTAGATTAGGTCTTAGGTGTTATCAGGCAGTTCCAAGACTCTCTGCAATTTTATACGAATACATACTCTTCTTCAGATGGGAATTCATGCTTAGACAATTTAGTATAGATGCTGGGTTAGCTCTGGCTTAGATTCGAAGTGCCATCATGCAGTTTCAAGGATGTCTTCAATTTTATATAAATACCTCCACTTTCACATTTGATCATTCGTGCTGAAACTACTCCCTAGCGGATTCCCCATCAAGTCGCCAGGCTTTACGTACCTCGTTAAAAGGAGAGCAGCGTCGTGATGCTCTGGGGACGGTTCATCAGGGTTGTTGTGCTTCTGCCATTTGCAGAACCCCTTCAGCATGTCTGACGCCGCGATTCCTTCCCTTCCGTTGTGCCTAGGCGCGAATATTTCGTTGGTCCTCACGATTTTCATCACGGAGATGCTCACAGGGTTACCAATGGACTGGTCCTTGTAGAGCCGCGACACCTGGAAGAATCGCACGCGTTATGTTCCTCTCGAGGACTCTTCTATACGCTGAAAAGTGGGAGAAGGAAAGAAATGAAGAAACCAAATGGAAATTAATGTATGGAGGATAACGAGACGTAAACGTTTCTTGCAAACGCGAGGCACACCTATACGCGCTTATTAACCTAGCATCGAAAGCGAGTTGTAGCGTCTGGGTTACATAATTGGAGCGTTAAGACGCTGTATTCAAAACCTTCAATGTCGTTGTTCTTATCTCGTCGTGTAAAAAGAAGTAATTGACGAAATCAACGATTTTGTGTCATAAGTCAGCACGTATCGCATGTAGATATCCTCGTGATTCGTATACTTCATTTACTATGTATAACAAATTATTATTCATGGTACAAAGAGGCAGAAAACCTGGCGATATGACATGCGATTGCAACAAGTCAACATAAAAAAAAGCGATTTTCTTCTAACATAACCGCCAGCGAAGTTTCTAATTTATACATTCGCTGTGAAACGAGATAAAGAACAGCTTGCACCTATTGAGTGCGAAACCGCGCTGCAGCTTCTTTTAACTTTCTACACGCGATAACGGCCCGTAAATAACCGATCGGGAGCGCAAACACTGTCAATTACCTAACAACGCGCTGGTTGGATAATGGTAACCCTAAAGGGGAGGCGAAGAGTTGATGACTGGAAGGCGTGTAGCTATTTGCAATAACACAAGTGCAGTTCTGAATTATGGTGGAAGTTGTCAGAATGTATGATAATTGTAGAATATCCTCTGCTGAGATATTCTGCTATATAAGCATTGAAAAGTACAGGATGGAATATCATAAGCTTTGCAATAACTCAGTTATTGTCGTTTACAGTAATGCAATTAGAGTTTTAAATTATAGAGGAAGTTGTCAGAACGTGTGACAGATGTAGAATATCCTTTGTTTGTTGAAACATTCTACTATAAGTATCGAAACTAGTGCATGATGGAACGAATGTCATAGCCTGACATGTAATAATGACACCACAGGTGGTCCCAGTATGAATACAAAACGTGAGACAGGGCTCACGTTTAAGGACTGTTGAAGGTGTCGTAAGGCAGAATTAATAGACGTAGAACAGAATTGTTTAGGATGTACTTCGGTAATATTAATAGACACTTTCACTGTCTTTTCTTAGCCCTCAGGGGCTGTAGCATGCGATTGTGCAGCTACAGTACGAGTTTAGCGACCTCGAGGTATCCGAGCTTGAGGCACCAAAGACAAGATTAACGTACATGTAATATATTGAGTTGTGGTACGATAACTAAGGGTTGGTTTCTGACTATAGAAGCTCAAAATTAAAGAGTTTACAAGGCAAAGTAATGCTAGGAATAATGGAAATAATTACTACATTGTAAAGTATGAATTTATTGCAATAACTAAAGCGACAGTTATGCACTTAAATAAACCAAGTTTAAGCTCAAATGCCTTTTTTATCCAAAAATAAACAAATTGGTCCAAGGAAGAGTTAAATTCTGCAACTCAACTCTCTTTTGATGTGGTTTTTTTTCTCCGCAGCCTTTATAATGAAAAAGTGACGAAGTAGCGGGCGCATCCGCCATGGTTTATACGCCAGCCCAATGGATTCGTTCCGCAGCGATCGTTCGAGGGCTTTTTGGGATGCGAGACACGCCACTAATTAAGAGTCCACTGTGTCTCGCATTGTTTATGCACGGCTATCTTCTTATTCGTCCGTCCCCAGCCATCACCCCGTGTGCTTTTCTTCTTCAGCCTCTCCTTTCTCGCGGCGCATCCTCGACGCTTCATTAAGATGCAATCGAGTCCGTTTGTAAAAATCATTGTCCGCGCTTATTAACCGCTTTGCGTCTGACGAATATGCGTTCGTTAATGCCGCGAAACGGAGATTGAACGCAACTGACAACTTGTGGGGTCCATAGACGTACACTGTCCGCCGTAAACCTCGACCCAGCTCACAGGGAGCGATAGAGACTTTATGGGACTGGTCAAGGAACTCTATGGCGTATCGCGAGCTCTTTCCAGGTATTCATTTTTAATTATGTTGGAGATAATAGTCGAGATTGACGGAGGCTAGAAGTAGATTCACTGGTTGGTTTGGAGATATTGATGGACTGTAGATGTTTATGCAAATTCATATTTTTGTATAGCCAGTACTATAAATATTCGTACCCTCTGCGGTTATCAAAGAAATTTGTCTAAATGACAAGTTTGGTTTTTTCTAAATAAATTTTTCATTGTAGATACATACACACGCAGAATTTATTTACGTACATATTTATTACAGAAAATTTATTTGGTAACATCAAACTTATCATTTTATTTAATATAATTTCTTCGGTAGGCGTATAGGGTACGAATATATATGGAACTGACTGTATAGACAGATGAAGAACAGAGAAGTGAATCAAAGTATCATATTTTTTATATTTAACATATCTATGTGTTTGTACACATCCTTGTATATTTTTGTATATTTACATTAATCATGAATGATTAATTATCCCAGTCTATTGCTGAGGAAGATTCTTTTGAAGAATTGTCTGAATAGCTAGCCCCTGAAAGAAGGTAGTAAGGTTGGATAGGACTTGAAGTCCGAGTTTTTCCATGGTCAAGGTGTCCAGATGTTAACATTTCTATCATTCGAAAGAACCTAGTGTCAGTAGGCTCTTCGCAAGCCTCCAGAAGTGGCATGTTCCTGATTTCTATATCAAATCCTCGAAGAACTGAACCCATATTCCTCACCAGTCACTGCATTACATCCATCCTCGCTCCATCCTTTCAAACACTTTCATAACTACACTGCAATTGCCTAGCCAAGCTTCTTAAGGTCATCTCAGGTTACCTGAAGAACCTATTCACCTCTCCATCCCTTGTCACAAGCCTTCACCAAGAGAATCTCTACTATATCCACTCCAAAACGTACTCTAAACGCTCTCGTGTTAACATACCCAAGCGCAAACTCTTCAGGAAAACAGAATAACATTCCTCGACTGGCGCAAACGCCAGGAAATCTTCGTTCGGTGCGATTAACCGTGAACAACGAGTCGCGAGGCATGTCGGGGCAGCTTTATTAGATGAAACGAAGCGGCCCTAATGCATTCAATTGGAGCAACGCTTCGTACGTCGGGCTGATGTGTCACTCGGGCACGTTTCCCCAACAGTTCGCTCCGGGGAATAGAGTGGTTGCAACAGATTCGCCCGCGCAGAACGGCTATTTGTCCGTAATTGATTGATTAAACGCACGCTTGCACTTCGGACCACGCGGCACGATTCGCAACAGGCCAACGTCGCGGATAAACGCGCGTTCATCTGGTCGCGATGGGGAATTCTCGAGATTCTTGAAGAAAATGGAGATACTCTAGCATTTTAGTGTGGGACAAGTGTGGAGGATATCAGCTTGGAATCGGAAATTAAAGCAGAATAGGATTATTTCATTATTTAGGGTTGTGGTATATACTTTTTGGATGTAACTTGGAATATGATTGACAACAAGGAAAATCAGTTTGTAATAATCCATTACTAACTACGATTTGATCCAACAGTTATATATTCATTTATCCATTGTGAAATGTTTTTCATTGTTCGAATTTTTATTTTTATTTGACTGGAGATGCGAATGATCATCCTCCCAGCTCAAACAATTTCAGCGACATTGAATATTGAAGTTCTCCATCCCTCTTCGAAACTGGAGGACTTGAAATCCTCTGGAGCTCAGACCTAACCTCAGAGCTCAAGACTGATCAGATACAAACGTAATCGACTAGTTTACAAGCTCCGTGTAATTTCGTTTCGAGTATTCTTGTTTCTAAAACGACTTATCCCATTTCCCCGAGCTGCTTTTTGCGAGATCGATCAACTGGTCGTATAAAATCGTAAAAAAAGGTCCCAGGAGAAGTCCCACTGGACCGGTTAGAGGGATCGACCGAGAAACGCCGGCAATTCAATCGTGTCACCAGGCGATCGCAATGTCAGACCCTGGCAAAGAGACGAGTTTTTCATTTCCATGGAGGTGGTCATCCATAAGAGACGTCGCTGAGCTCGAGGCACGGCGATCCTGTCCCACACTTTACGGGTATGGTTAAATGGGTTACAACGACGGCAAAAATCCATGTTTATTAACGTCGTCACCGACAGCTCTTCCCGGTTGCCCACCTTTCGTTCGTCACGCGTCTGCGTTAGTAAACTGTCGCGAACTTCTGACGCGACAGACACGTCGGCCATGATGGATTCCCATCAATTAAATTAGTGGCTTTCGCGGCAGGAAGAGTCATTGTTTCTTTTTGTTAACAAATTTGAAGCCTGGGATTTGGTCTCGCTAAAAATGAGGCACTTTTATCTGATATTATTAAGAATTTAAAAAATGTTGATTTTGACATTTTATAGAATATTTTTGCCCAATTATTATGTGTGAAGAGAAAGCTAACTATCCTGTTTCAAAGTGCTACTGCGAGGAGTTGTAAAGAATTTTTGAGAATGACTGATATAAAATAGTTGATCTTTCCACATCTTGAATTTTTATATGCAATGTCAACTCCATATACCATAGATTACTATTTAGTCTGTACGTTGCCCTCCAATTAGTTGTATCATGATAAAAGGAAAACAACCTAACATAAATCTCTTGTCGCAGCGTTTAAACTCGTCCACTAGTACTAATTCAGCTTAAAGTCCACAAGCTTTCCCTACGTACGCCTTGAATTGAATTCTGAGACAATGCCAAGTCCTTTTCCCATTTGTTAATACTTACTAAATATATATTATTTTCCAATCGATCTTTCTATCTCAATAAATAAACAACAACCTAGCATAAATCTAGTGCCACACCATTTTCATTCCATTAGTACAAATTTAGATTAAAATCCTCAAGAATTCACTACATACACCTTGAATTGAATTTTGACACAATGCCAAGCCCTTTTCCCATTTGTTAATACTTACTACATATATATTATTTTCCAATCGATCTTTCTATCTCAATAAATAGACAACAACCTAGCA